CCGGCGAACGTCATCGAAATTCGATAAGTCCGCTATTCGATACGGCCGAAGAATCCAACGGACGGATATATATGCAGACACACGTCGTGTTGTTTCTTTAACAGCAACTGTGACTGTCCAATTTTAGACCAAGACGCGATTCGAACCGAGATGAATGGGCCACTTTGAGTTATAGCCGCGTAAAGCCGCTTTTTAAAGAAAGTGTGAATAAGAAATGCGTAAGAAAGTGTCTTCACTTTCTCTGAGTGTCAGTGTGCTAAATAACGCGAACATTCTTGGTCGTTGATTATCATTCGACTGGCTTCGTCACGTTTAGCGTTAATTGCAACTAAGTGTATATGCGGTGAAAATATGGGGCAATGTGTTCGCTGGCTGCTGGCTGCAGCCGGGAAAACTCTGAACACGAAAGTAAGATCATTGTTACCGCGCCGCCGTACAGTACGACTGTACATGCTGTGCCATAATTGAAACTCATAGATAACGATTGAAAAAAAAATCTCTCACGCGCAATGTTATCTCGCACATTCCCGACACGTCAGGCGTCATACCTATACTGGATGAGCGAGTACCGTGTAAGTACATGTGTAAGAAAAAAAGACGCGTGAGTGCACGTAAAGCGGCACCGCGCCTCGGCAAAACCAGACCGCGAACATCCTGCGTTCCGCTTAGGAATTATGAATCAGCAGTGTAAAATCTAACAGACGTATAATAGTGAATACCACGCCGTGGAATTACTGGCCGCGAATTAGAATCGGCTACAAGATTCTTTTTCCCGGCGCCGGAGAATGACCCGCAATTTACCGCCCTGAATGTCGGCAGCGTGTCGATTCAGATTACCGTCCGATAGGCATTACTCCTGCAGAATCCTACACACTCCCGTGAATTATGTATTAACATTGTATAATAACGTTGAATAGTTACCTCGACAAAATTCTGAGGACAAGATCATTACTGAGAAATGACTTGAGTGCGACACAAGATAAGAAGAACTCGCGTATTTTATACTTTCAGTAAGCAGATTCAGCGGCAACGCGTCTAAGGATAATATAGCGGATAGTAATATCAACTTGATGGAGCAGTTAATGGAACGGTAACAAGAAGCAGACAGGGTCTGTATATAGATACTTCGTAAGTTTCGACGCGCGCTACCGTCAAAATGACAACGACGATAATATCAAAAGCTGACACGGCGCGAACTCTTAATACACGCGCGCATAATTCTCGTTGGAATTATCGACTGTCAGACTGTGTACTTATTACGACAACAGGAAATACTATAGGCGCGCCGCGATAGCGTAGTCCTGCGGCTGATTCGCCACAGCCGCCGCGCCTCCGTCACCGCTCGGCCACGCCGCGTTTTACATTCAGGCCGAACCACGATGATAAAAGGAGAAGCAGGACGTCGATCTATCGGGCGCGAAAATTATAACGCGGAAAGTCCTTTGTGTGCGACGCGAAAGAGCTACGGACACGATTGCATGGTCGCGCGCACGGCGTTTATGCGGCGCGACAGAAATAAGCCCCCACGGATGCATAACTTCGGGGCGCATGATTTTCTTTTTCCTCATTTCTCATCGTTCCACTCGTCTCGAGAACTTTGCGTCACGTCGACGATTACAGAAAGTGGAGCGAGTGAATAAGAAATATTACGAAAGGTGGAAGTGCTAAAGGCCATTTGTAGATATCTTTTTTTTTTAGATCTACATATTAGGTTATCTTATTTTTAGTCACAGTGCAGTTTACTAAATTAGCGACGTACACGTCGAAATAAAATATCACGACGAAATATTGTCTCTTTAATACTTAGACCTTCAAACGGATTAAATAGAATTACGTCATTTAATGACGTATATTATCGTGAAAGCAATTATATCTTGTTGTGGAACGTTGCAGTGTATAATATAATAATTAATAATATTGGATATTATATTTCATTTCGTTTTCTCTCTCTCTCTCTCTCTCTCTCTCTCTCTCTCTCTCTGTTTCTCGCGATTGAAATAAAAAATATATATATATATACACGGAGAGAATTTTATTTTAAAATTTATCCTGAAAATCATGTTAATCGTGGGACAACATAGTATTTCGACGAATTTTATGTGATTTTCACTATTTTTTTAAATATATATTACAATAAATTTATTGTAATGCACAATAAAGAAAGCAGAGAAAATCACATAAAATTTGTCAAAATACTATGTTGTCTCACGATTAATATGATTTTTATTTTTAATTATATTTTATATATATTATATATATATATAAATAATGTGTGTGTGTGTGTGTGTGTGTGTGTGTGTGTGTGTGTGTGTGTGTGTGTATGTGTGTACACATTTATATATGTATATTACAGGGTGTTGCATATTAACAAGTTACGCAGCAAATTTGCAGAGGCAGGCGCAGCTTAATAAGTAATAAGTATTTATTTTAGTATTTATTTTAGTTTTTAGTACTTTTCAAATTTCTTAGTATTACTGAGCCCTTTTAGTATTACGTCTGCCCCTGCAAAGGGGCAAAATCAAAGGGGCCACGCAATCCATCATATTCATGCCTAAAATATATGTGCAACACCCTGTATGTATATATAAATGTAGGTACTATATATGTATTATCGTTATCTATGTAACTTCGTTATGAAGATCCCACGAGTTTACATTTCTCTCTGATCTGTTTTGTTACGCTCATTTGATACGTTTGTGTTCATCTTATACAGACATCTCTCTTTATGTATGATAATGATACGTCAGAGTCTAGTAGATTCTATATTCTCTTGTTACGAGCTTTGTCTGTAAGCTTCGTAATTTCCAGTATTTTTTCCTATATTGTTAATCGGTATACGAAAGAATTAATAATAAGGGGTGTGTGTGTGTGTATTCGACTCCCTTCGGGAGCTTACGGTTTGGATTTTACGAGCATTTTTATATACGAAGCCAAGGGAGGAGGGTACGTGCGGGAGTAAATAGCGGCAGTCAAAAAAAGAATTTTAATGTCTGCAGCGGGATTATTCCGAGTGAGATAAACTAAGCCACGAGATTCTCGTTTCTCTTAATACATTTAGTTTTAAAATAAAACTACTGCACTATTAAATTTAGTCATATTTATGGAAGCATTATATTTACCATTTTGTTTTGTTATGTAAATAATATCACGAGAAACCTGTTTTAATTTATCTTTTAATATTTTCATAATATACATAGTTAATTCTGTGACAAAGGTGAAAAAATAGAGCTGACGTAAAAAATAGAATCTCTTCGCAATCTGTTAACATAAATTGTCACACTATATTTATATATTAGCTATTTTATTTTTAATCAAAGTGGTTTACTATTAACTCGTTATTAACAGCTGAGACGTGACTATATTTGCAATCGCGGAACAATCAAAATAAACGTCTATATTTCATAGATCGATTTACAAACGAAATTAAACTCGAAGAATCGATATTGATAAATGCAATGCGATGAGAATGCGAATCTAATTCGTTAATAATATGTTTTCAAATCACCATCCGAGTGCTTAGCGGGATGTTTAATAAATCTGCCAGTCTCCTGTGTTTGCTACAAAGTCCTTGCAATCGGTTGCAATTACCGGTGAGTAATGCACGCCAGATGTCGAACTTGGCAGGTGCACGTGCGTTAGGTAATGCTTAAAGGTTTCTTTGGTCATTGCACTTGGCGCAAACGGTACTATGTATTCGCTCCTTGAATGATCCAAGGGAATTAACAGCGTCCCGATGCGACGTTGTGTATATTCATCGTCGAGAAATAATTCTTGATTGAGCCTTATACATATAATTTATTTTTACAATAAATACCAATAAGTTTCTGAAGAATATTTCTAATTAAGATGCTGAGGCATTAGAGTTAAGCGGATATTACGTCCAAGGTTTAAACTTGCAGATTAATGTCAAGATTTTAAGAAGAAATCTTTTGAAGGAATTTTTAAATTGTGCTTAATCGGAATAGAGATTTTTACGTTGCTAAGAATCACGGAATACAGATTTTTGTGTTCCATGGTATGTCCTCGGTATTTGATGTCCGATCAAACTTCGTGCGTCTAATAAGATCGGGAGGTGACTAATCTAGCATGCATTAAAATTATATCGTAGACGTAAAAACTGGAAAGACACGTTTCCAGCGCAGTATGAATAGTAATACTGATGACGAATTGTAAAAAATTCGTTCATAAACGCGATTCTCATTTGCATATGTCGCTACTCTATCTAAATCCACCGAGTAACGAGTAACCTTATTCAAGCATGCACAAATAAACATTATCGAAAATTAACAAAAATATCGGAATTTTTCTAAAACATCTGTATGTTTCCTAATATATTTACCGAATTCGTATATATTTAATAAAAACATAGATTATATTAAAATATTACATAGGGTTATATTTAAATATTATATATAAATATTATATAAATATAATAAATAGGTATTTTTATGCAAGCATTACCAAAAATAACAAAAATATTTACATAGACATATATTTACAAAGATATAATTTATCTCGAATACTCGTATTTTGTGTCGAAATTGGATTTTCGAACAATTTACCGAAAATAGATGTTTTATATTTAGATGGATATTTTTAAAAATAGCAAGAGAGAGAGAAAATACTTGGATCGCGGAACACTTGGATTATACCTTTCTGCTTTCGGTCCTTGCGACATAACGCGCCCGTTCACGGAACGTTCACGCGCTCGTCGAGGATGTCGGAGCACTCGGAGCTACAATGCGCGTGCATCAACACGACGCGTCAATCCGTCGCGCGCTGACACACGCGTGTTCGCCGTGACATAAGACGCGCGTCGTAAAGAAGCGCGCGACAAGCATAACAAAATTTTTACGAAACGCGACAAATGAAATTTCCAACCAGTGGATTGCCCTGCTTCTCGCGTTTCGTGCCGTGATCGCCTTGGCGAAAGAGCGAGGAGAAAAGAAAAAAAAAAGAACGGAAAATCCTGGGGGAAAAAAATAAGGAAGAGGACTCACCGGCGATCACGGTGTCCTGCAGATTGTACTTGGCCGCCGCGCCGGCCTTCCCGACCTTCGGGAAGTCTTTGAGCTTACGGCCGCTTAGCTTGAGCTCGCCGCTCAGATGCGCCTCCTCCAGGATCCGCTCGAGGCTCCTGGTGAGCTGTTTCTGTATGTGGCCGCTCATATTCGACGCAACCATCGCCATATTACATTTTTCGGGCACGGGCACACGCGGCGCGGTCCGCACGCAACGCGGCCCCGGCGATGCGACCGGAGAAGCGGAGGCGGCAGTCAGTGGCGGCGTCCTCCCTGGCGTAGCACCCGCGCGCGACGCGCGCTCCGATCCGCTCGTGCTACGGGAAACGCGACAGTGGGGTACACCACGGGTATGACGAACGCCGCCTTACTCCCCCAAGTGTCAGTGCCGCTACTGATCGTGCAGGCCGATTCGGCACACGGCGTCGCGTTTCTGCGCGCGACCGCCGCGCCATCTGGACGGGCGAGGCGCCCGTCGTCTTGGCAACCGAGGGAGCGTCATCCAAACCATAGACATACATATATGTATATATATGTATATATATATATATATAACCATATTATATTATATTATATTATATACTTTATATGTATATAATATAATATATATTATATTATATTATATATTATATGTAATCATAGACATATATATGTATATATATTATATGTCTATGATCCAAACTCAAAGCTTTATGTCCATCGACGCTCCAGAAATTGCTTCAGGGTCTCGCAGAACAAATTGAACCAATTGTTTTAGTTAGCCGAATTGCTCAGATACAATTTGTTATAATTCTTTCTTCAAAGCATCAACAATCGAAGAACGCGAATTGAAGATTTCGACCAATTAAACGCTCTATTCTGACTGGTTTAATTTCCAATTTTTAATTCCCAATTCACGAGTCCATCTGAGTCGTCGTGTAATTTGATACTGGTTTTAATAGATTTCTTGCACTGTGCACAATATTTTTTGCACTTCTAAAATAAGGGTGTGATTAAGCAAGGAAGATGATGCACAGAGGAAAATGCACAGAATGTAATTAAAAAAGAATAGATTTACAACTTTTGTCACTATATAATTAATACTAGAATTATCAACGATTAATTTTATTTACTTACATTATTTATATCGTATTATATTTGAAAAAGGGCTGAAGAAGGAAAATAAATTGATGAATTATTTATCTATTGTACAAGTGGAAAATCTCGGAACCGTTATAAATTTGAATTATTTAAAAGAATTATATGAACCAAATTATAAACCAGTCATTTTGATCACTTTCATGTTGTTCAAGTATTAAAAGTATGAAAATGTTATCCCTGAAGGTAGAGAAAATAAAACAACTATTTTTCCATCATACGCATGCAGATAGAAATTACCGAGAGATAAACCGCTAACCAAAATTGTGTACACTAATGCCTAGTAATGCCCGAGAATAACATCGTGAGAGAGCAATCTTATTATTTAGCGTAATTTATTTAATATTCACACTTTATTACGTGTTGTAAATGTGTGTTTGACATAAAACAATTGTCAATTGTTTAAAAATAAAACGTAATAGTGCCCAGTAATGCCTAGCAATGCCTCGAATCTACACTGCGATGCCCTCAGCGGTTTACCCCTCGGAAATTACTTTCTACATATTTATCTTATAATTCGTATCACACATTTTCCGATAAACTAATATTTACAACTCATTCGATACGTTTGTACACGTTTGTTCAGTATACGAATTTTGCGTATTATTCACTGTTAATAATTAATTATTATTACTTGTAATTACTTATCAATTTACGTCGAGTAGATTAAATTATAGGTATAAACAATGCGTATATATTGTCATAATGCACTTGCAACATTCATGATAATATTGCGCAATTTTACTATAAAAAAAAAAATTTATTTGATATTCTATTAATTTTTCGACTTCTGAGATTTTTCGATTACTATTCCCTGTGATTCTTGATATTGTCTAATAATTTGATCCTGCACATCCGATAAGCAAGGGCTGTACCTTGCATACTCCATGGTAAACTCTCCTTTACCTTGCGTGGTCGATCTCAATTCACCGGAGTAACCGAACATCTCGTTAAGTGGCACTTCCGCAACGATTGTGAACCATTCGTCTACCACTTCCGTTGAGCTTATGATTCCTTTTCTCCTGTTGACTTGTCCCAATACCACACCCTAAAAATATACGCGTGAAAGACTTATCTAACGGAAAGCGGTGAATTATATAAATACGAAATAAACTGTATATGGGTAGTGTTATCGCACCTGAAATTCCTGCGGGCCCACTATCTCGACCAGCATAATCGGCTCCAAGATTCGCCAGCTACCGGCTTCGAAAACATTCTTAACAGCACCTTGCGCGGCTTGGAAGAAGGCAAATTCCGAGGAATCGACGCAATGGTGCATACCGTCGAGTATTCTGAACTTAACGCCAGCGATTTTGTGACCGCTGAGCAAACCTTTGTCACACATTGCTCTGAAGCCTTTCTCTACACCCGGAATGTATTGTTTCGGGACATTGGTTCCTATAGTTTCATCCGAAAACTCGATGCTTGTATTTCTCTCAGGTGGCAACGGCTAAAACACAAATTTCTCTTATTGTTAGACCAAAACATTGAGGGAAATAAAAAAAATATGTCAAAATGCGATATAAATAAATTAATGATAAAAGTCTATTGAACTTGTACCTCCATAACTCCAATCACGCAAGCGTATTGGCCAGCACCACCAGACTGCTTTTTATGAAGATAGTCAAACTCGCAAGGCTCAACCAAAGTCTCGCGGAAGGAAACTTTTGGCTTTCCAAGAATAATCGGGCAGTTGTATTCGCGTTCTAATCTTTGCGCATAAATTTCCAAATGCAATTCGCCCATACCGGAAATTATGCTTTCCTGAAAAAATAAGATACAAGTTAGAAAACGTAAATCTCAAAGACATTTGCTAAAAGCGATATAAAAAAATGTTACCTTGTTATCTACATCATAGGTGAAACGCAAGGTTGGGTCTTCCTTGGTAAATCGGCCAATACCTTTAGCAAAATTATCTCGATCTTTTGAATTCTTTGTTCGTATAGACATAGATACCACGGGATCGGGAACGTAAATCGATTCCATTGATAAATCCAGTTTAGAATCGTTGACAAAAGTATCACCAGACGCACAGTCGATGCCGAATATAGCAAAAATATCTCCTGAATAAACTTCCGTGACATCTTCCATTTGATTTGCATGAAGTCGAACTAATTTTTGTGCTCGTACCTAAAATATAATTGTAGCATTTTATTTTAAATATCTTTTAGTAAGAAATTATAAAGAAAATATTAGTATAAAAATATAATCCCTCTTACCTTTTTTCGTGTTCTTGTGTTAAATAAATTGTCTCCTTTTTTTAACATTCCTTGGTAACAACGGAAATATGTTAATTGACCGAATCTGCCAGCCTCCAACTTGAATGCCAATCCAACAAAAGGTTTCTTGTCATCACGAGTAGAATCCAATAAAACTTTAGCATATTCATTGCTAAAGTCAATAAATAAAAAATTTGTTCTTAGATACATATTACATCATATATACATCAAGCAAATTATATCAATACAAAAAAAAAGCTTACTCGGATTTTTCTCGAAGAGCATAATTCTCTACTTCTCCTGGATTTGGTAAGTAATTTATTACTGCATCTAATAATGGCTGAACCCCCTTATTCTTCAAGGCAGTGCCAACCAGCACAGGCGTAAACTTTCTTTTTAAACAGCTCCTGCGTATGGCATCCATAATATCTTTTTCGGTTATCTTTGTATCGTTTAAATACAATTCGCCGAACGTATCGTCCGCATTGCTCAAGTGTTCGATTAATTCTTGCCTCCTTTCATTCACCTCTGATCGACATAATGCAAATTTAGCAAATATTTATAATTTTAGAAATTTCAGAAATGTGTGCAAATGTATCAATATGAAAGTGTCATTTTATGCGAATACCTGCGTTCATGTCCTTCGGGATTTCATCCTCCCTAACAGTTTCTCCGAAATTCCCTTCAAAATAAATTGCTTTTTGGGCGACTAAATCAATTATGCCCTTCGTATTACTCTCCAGGCCAATCGGTAACTGTACGAATGCAGCATTGTGATGCAGTTTGCTCCTCATCTGCTGTAGAACTCTCTTTGGATTCGCGCCCATTCTGTCGAGCTTATTGATAAACGCTAAGCACGGTACGCTATACCTCTTCATCTGCCGATTCACAGTTAGAGTCTGTGACTGGACACCACCCACGGCGCAGAGGACAAGGACAGCACCGTCCAAGACGCGCAAAGCTCTTTCGACTTCCACCGTGAAATCCACGTGTCCTGGTGTATCGATGATATTGATGTTATGATCTTTCCATAATGTATACGTGGCAGCGGACTGAATAGTGATGCCTCTTTGCCTCTCCAATTCCATGCTGTCCATAGTTGCACCCACATTATCTTTTCCTCTTACCTAATATGAAAAATAATATATATGTGTTATCGTCAAAACCCATAATCCGTTAAAAGCCGAATTCACTAGTTAAAACTAGAATGGTTGATTAGACCATTAGACGTAAAATCGAAAACCTATATGGACATACAATTATATAAATCTCGTTTCATAAACAGGGCGGAAGGTTGGACCTCACTTCACGAGGATATGAAAAGTCGAAACCCTTGTAAAACAGTATAATTATAGACTTCGTTTCAATTAAATTTAAAACTAATTTTAACTAGTGAAATAGTTTTAACAATTATGGGTTTTGACGTAACATATACATATATATATTTTTTTTTCACTTAAAAAAAAAATTCTATCACTCGTAGTTTGCCTGCAAAGGCAACATAATGGTTAAATTTTAGATTTACCTCGTGCATCTCTGATATTCTGCCCGTGTAATACAAGATACGTTCGGTCAAAGTGGTTTTTCCGGAATCGATGTGCGCCGATATACCGATGTTCCTGATCTTCTCCAACGATGTGTGCTCGGCGAATTTGGCGTACGACGCCAAAAGCCGCACATTTTGCTAGAGAAATTACGCGATACAGTAAATCATACTGAAATTTCTGCGTTATTGACGAATACATTGTGCAAAAGCGATTAAAACTTATAATCTAAGAATTTAGTAGAGGTTAGGAATCTTACTCCGTAAATATAACACGGTCGCAGCTTTGATAGCTGACTTAAATTGATGTTGCGGCTTAAAAGAGTCACAATAGTCATGATTAATCAGGTCGTTTTAATATCAAACACTTTTTACAAATCTAATCCTTTCGAGTACGCCTCCACGTGAGGTATCCACGGCGCCCAGCCGACCAGACCAGTCCTGACACTCCTGACTCCTGAGCCCTCTCGATCACGTTGTCCAAAGTGTAATCAAAGCACGATGCAAAAAGCAAAAAGTTTCCACTTTCCAGTGACGTAAGTAATGCGCTTTATATATGTTCTAAGGTAACGCGCCAAAGATATGAGTAAAAAAAAAATTATTTCAGTACACGTGATTTAAATTAATAAAATGTTATTAATGACATAAATTGTACATTAAATTATAATCATTTATAATTTTATATGTACATTGTTTTCAAATATATCTAAAAAAAAAATTAAGAATATTTAAATAATTACAATGAAAAAAGCAATATTTCTTAAACAAATATTAATTTTTTTATGTCCCTACAAAAATTTAAAAATATAGGAAGTTGAAAATTTTGCAAATATAAAGAGAATTTTTTTACATTTTATCTAAAGAACTGAACCATCGTCAGAAAAATCATTCTAATTTATCTCATAATTTTATTAATATGTATAAATGTTAATCATTTAGCTTTAAATGAAAAAACAAAAATTGTTGGCAGAAGACATACTTTATTATGAATTGCGTAATTATATCCATCTTAATTTTGTCAATAATAACATGCCATATGATAAAGTATCGCAAAATGTATAACATAAGAATTTACGATATTTTCAACATAACATAACATAACAAGTACGTTTAACGCATTTGAATAATCATTTTTTATACTACAGGTATTTACAATGAGCTTACGGGATCAGGAAAAATAATTTTCATATAACCCGATACAATTATACTTTGTGCTCAAATATATCTTTTTACTATTTCTACTTTATAATTACAATCACCTATATTATATTAATATCCATGGCTTTGTATTAATTGTAGATTTATATATCTGATAAATATCGTTGCATATTAATGAACTTGTTGCACAATTTGTTTTAAACTTAAATTATACTTTATATATAATATATATATATATATATAAAATTAGAAAAAAATACACTGTCTTCTCTCGTGAAGAGAAAGCATAAAAAATCGATAATAAAAGAATTTAACTTTATATATATATATATATATATATATATATATACTTTTCTCCATAAATTTCACAGGTCTTTGAGCTAATAAGACAATATCAGATGGAGAATATTCTATAAGTATTGACATTAAGATATTGTTTTACATTACACATAGATTATGTCTTTTAAATGCTGTGAAAAAAAATGCTGTAAAAGACAATTGTACATCGAGATGTTAACAATATCTTGTAATGTGATGTAAATGTTAATATTGATTGTCCATGTTTATTAATTACACTGAATGATTCTCATTAAGTCTATAAAATCGAAAAGAACATTGAGAGATAATATGAAAGATAATTCACAAATATCATGTATGCGAAAGCAGTTTCATGATAAATAAACTCATTTCTTATAATCCAGCGCGTATATAGATTACGCCATTTGATTTTCTATTTTCTATCTGTAATTGTGTGCACTTGTCATACCCAAATCAGCTACTCTCTATCAAAAGTATTCGTTACGCACAAAGTATGCTATCAATATAACGTGACAAATCAATTTGAATAGCACAAGTTTCTGAGTATACTTCTAATTTTTTGTTTTTAATTTCATTGTTTCGTGTCTGTATCGTAGTAATATTTTGCGTCGAGTATAAAATCTTACTTATATTCTTATACACAAATTCTATACACAAACTGAAGCCGAAGGTAGCTCAACAGCGTTTTCCTCTCCTGACTCTATACTGTAGACATAAAAGACTTTACAAATACATTAATATCTGATTAAAAGCACGTAACATTTTTGGTACCAAGTTTCGTTGGTGAATGTTTCCCATCGCTATCACCGAGATCCATACCAAATGGCACAGAATTCCAAATGGCTTTGTCACTTTGATCGTCCTCTTCGTTCAGAATATTGCACATCATGCGGTCGTCGTAAAGTGAGAATCGCGCCGTTGACTGCGCGCGACCGCGGATCTTCCTGACAGACGGCGGCAAGTCACCGGGTGTTTTTATTCTCATATGCGGATCCTTCAGTGCGTTGTTTACGTTCGAACCCACGTTAAAGACCTCGTTAAACTTATCTATGCTCTCTTGCCGGCTTAGATTATTTTCTCGCTTTTTGTTCCTTAAATTTACGAGCGGCAAAGTGGAGGGACGCGCGTTAGACGTCGCGTTATCGCCCTCATATTGCTTTCCCATTTGTGCGGTATTCTTGTCGTTCTTCTCCGTCGGCATCGCCGAGGTAGAAGTCTTACCGATGATACCATTCACATACTTTCCTCCCGGCGAGATTGTTACGTTCGTCTCTACAGTTTTAATCTGGACATTTTGCTTTGATAACAAATTTGACTTAGAATCTTCCCTGTCTATTTGGTATCTGCTGTACGGATACATTTTCTTGTTGACAAGCAATTTCTTTAAATTGGGCCAGGCAAATAATTTCTTCCGCGGGCTCTCCTGAAGAGACGTGTCCTGTATGTTCGTCTGCTTTCTTTTGCCGTACGAAGATGATCCTTCGTCGGAAATGACATTTTGAACATACGGTATAGGCGTTGCCGGCCTAAGTTGTGTTAACTGAGTGGTATGCTGACTTAAGTAATCGTGCGAAACTAAGCCTTGTGCTTCTGTACCAGTTTTGTATTGATCGTTACACGCATGCTTCAGTGATTTATCGACGAGAATGTTACCGTTACATCCCAAGTCCTCCAACGAATCCGATTGTAACATTAAATTTCTTTCCATACACGGATTTCTGCCTTGATACGGCTGAAGCGTTTGTGTATGATTATATGTCGCTACTTCGTTTGAATTTTTGACTGAAACAAGATTATGAAAAGTGATTAAAAAATGAAATTAGAGATATAAAATGAATAACACATCTGATATCGCTCATTTGTATTTTAACAACGATTTTGATTAAAAAATTAACATTTTTTTTAGTTGCTTCTAAAAAAACAAAAAAAAACATACTCTAATCCTCCGCGAGCGCAGTAAAGAAAATTACGTGAATGTTTATCTCAGAAATACATCCTATTAGTAATTTATCTAATAACAATAAGATTTTACATATTTTATCTGAAACTAACTTAGGGCTTTCTGATTATGAAAAACAAACTTAGGAAAAATTTAATCTCGAACAATATTGGAAATTTTATGAAAATCTAGGATTTTTTCAACTTTTTTGGAAATTTTGATCATTTAGTAATATATAAGAACAACGTAACCGTAAATAAGAAACAATCAACTAAATAGACAAAGATGATAGGGAATGAATGTGATTTATGTATACGTATAAAATCAATTAAATCAACCAAATCAAAGTAAAAAATGCAAAATAACCAATCTCTATGTATGAGATATGACATCATCCATTTGTGGTCTAAAAAAACATTATTTCTACAATTATTGTACCAAAATTGTATTTCAAAATATAACAAAATTTTGATAATTTAAAACATTTCAACTCATTTTTCTTAAAAACTTGGTTATTTTACTCATGTCGTTATTGTAGTAAACTAAGTAAACAAATGATATAAATTACTTACAACTGTGTTCATGAGCAACGCTGTCAGATGGTGATAATGCAACTAAGTTTTCAGCTACTGCACTGTCGTTAATATTACTATCTTGCACCATGTTCAATGCAAGTTGAACAACATGTACATTGTCATGATGCGAGGACTCACTATAAAGACTGTTTGTCGTTGAAGGCACTAAGGTGCAGTGAGAATTCACCATTGGACTTCCATCGGTAAAGTGCATTGTTACTAGAATGTTTTTGTTTTCTTTTAGAAAATGTAAAAATCATATACTTCGCTAAGTACTTTGGTAATAGCATTACCACGATGAGACTGTAGGTCTGTAAGTCGTTCTTCTATACACAAAGCAGTTAAACGAGCTTCAGCATCAGCATCCCAACAATCTTCTATAGTTTCCTTTATCAAACGCACTCCTGGTCTATCTACTAAGTTACCCTCTAAAAGTGGTCTGGCTTTATTACGCGATACTAAAACTTGCATCTGTTCGAACGTTGGATGAAGTCCTGAAGGGTAAATAAAAATAAATATATATTTCATAAATAAAATATAATTCAATATAAAACCATGATTTTAAGAAATCATCTTTCATGCACAAACCTATTTCGTTTTCATACGGCTGTTTATATTGCGGTACATCCGATCCAGGAATATAAATATCAGAACATCTTGTAACCAATTCCCAAAGAACTAAACCCATTGCATAAACATCTATTTGTTTTAAAGAACTTTCGCAATCCCGTAAATTAACAGCACCATCCAATATTTCCGGCGCCATGTATCTCAGAGTGCCCACCTAGCGTAATAGATTTTAATAGAGATTAAATTGTAAAACATATAATCTCGGATTACATATCTCATCTCATATTTCGATACCCACGTCATTAATTGATTTTAGTTCGGCATTCTGCTCCTCTCCATTAGAATAATACTTAGATCCAGCGATTTGAACTGCTAATCCCAAATCACAAATGCAACAAGTACCATCACCTTTAATTAATATGTTTCTTGAATTTATATCCCTATGTGCGATGCATGGCTTAAACTTGTCTGAAAATTAATATTTACATAAATATTAATACTAGAATGTCCAATTATAATTTAATTAAAAAACAGTAATGTATAAATCAAGAAGATATTTTAAATATAATGATAAACAGCTTGTTGTTGTAAAAACAATATATTTAAGAAATTATAATTAAATTAAAACAAAGTAAAATTTATTCATACCTAAAACGAAGTCACACTGTTATAAAATTATAAATAAAAAAAACGCAGTCAAATGTGGGTACAAAATGCTATTCGGAATAAAATGCGTGTCAAAAAATTGTCGGATGAACGTCATGGCCAAGTGGTGGGGTCTCCCGAAATATAGCGTAACGACAAAATAATGTTTCGAGTTATTGTGTCGAACAAGGAATCCCATTACATAAATTTCCATGATAATATTAGAGTAGACGTATTAAATTTGTGCTTTGGTCGGTGTTTCGTAACGTACGTCATACGACGTACGTCAGAGCACATTACAAATTCAATACGTCTAATATTATCATGGAAATTTATGTAATGGGATTCCTTGTTCGACACAATAACTCAAAACATTATTTTAACGTCACGCTATAATTCGGAAGACTCCACCGTTGTTTGGCCATCGAAGTTCATCCGATAATTTTTTGGTACGCATTTCATTCCAGATGGCATTTTGTATCCACACTTCACAGCTGCGTTTTTTTATTTATATGTAATTTTATAACAGTATGACTCCATTTTTCGTATTAATTAAAAAATTTACTTCGTATTGACTAATTTGCTTATACATTATTTATATTTAATGCGCTGCGCTATACGAAGGTAGGTATTTAGGCAATTGAAAGACCAAGTGAGATCAAAATTAGTATTGCGAAATTATAATATAGAGATACTAAAGAACTAAATTTATATCTCAAACATATTAGAAGCCTATAGGAGCCAACACGGATGTTGGTGTGTGATAATTTTTTTTACAATATCCAATCAACACGTAAAAAAACATTTTAAAAAATTATCGCACACCAACATCTGTGTTGGTTCCTATAGGCCTTTACTTTAATATATTTGATTTATTCTCGGCAGCCCATTTCTCTAAATTATTTAAATTTATATGTAATGTTTACTCGTCTTTTAGCCCATTTTTTAATTATATATTTTTATCATATCTATACTATCTAAGCAAGTAATGCAATACATACCACCCTTCCGTACATCCGTATGCAAATAAGCAAGTCCTTTAACTATAGAAAGACTCATTTTGCAGAATGTGTTCCAATCAATAGTGTTCATTCGTAAGAATTCTCTTAAACTACCACCTGGGACGAAACTGAGTACCAAAAGATATTCAATATTATGTTCCAGGCTTATTCTTTCATCCGCACCTAAAAAAATGAAAATATAGATTAAATTTTATTATTTTATTAATACTTTTTATGTTCTGGTATTAATAATTCAAATATTTAAAAAAACAAAAACGTTTTCATGCATGAATTATCCTTTTTTACTATAAATAAATCCCAAAAAATTGCCAACCATAATAGCTTAATAATGATGAATGCTCCATAAAAGGTAGACAGTAAGTATCTCTTTCATTCTGAAAATAATTCCGGTAATGTGATGGATATATTTTAACTGCAACATCTTGATCTCCCAGACTGCCCTGCCAAACTGATCCATATCGTCCTTGACCTGCGATTATAATATGATTATAAATAAATAAATAGAATTAAGTATTTATAAACTGCAATATATTAAATAAATGAAAAATCTTTGATTAATTTTATCAAAAATACTTAATAAGAACATACCTACAATATTTGTAAGTTTCAAGTGATCAACTGTGTAAGTACCAGTTCTTAATGCTGTGCTATTCATGAATTCATTAGATAATGACTTTCTTAATCTCATTAAAATATTGATATAAAACGATTTATATATAATCTTTATTATAATAAACATTAGTAGTAATGCAAATGCTATGCCGATTATTATTAACCATGTTCCAGTGTTTGACTGTTCAAGATATTCTGTAGCTGAAAAACATAATAATATATAGAAAAATATGTTTTCTGATTTTCTATGAAATATCAAGATAAGAACGAGCATAATTTATTTTGCTATATAATGATTAATAGTTGCTATTAATGCTACTGTTATCTTACTTGGCTGACTGTTTTCCGAAGAAAGAGGATTAAATATCTTATTATCCGAATCGTCAAGATTGGAACTTGTAATATTGAGATTACAAAAATCCCCGTGGCAGCAACAAAATTTTGTATTGTTCAAAGCTTTTGTAGATCTCGGGAGTGCAATACATTCTGTATTTTTGCATTCTGTATTTTGATCACCAGACTGTTTCCAACAACCTAGTCCAATCAAGTAATAATATATATTAATTATATATGGCACTATATTATGCGTAATAAACTCCTACACAAAATATACCTTGAGACAAAATAGTGATTTCAGTGCCATTTGCAGTTTTATCCTCTTGCCACAAGGCATGGCAGAAATTATTACATATCTCAAATTCGTCATTTTCATTTATCTAAAAGTATAAAAATTTTTCAAATATTATATTTTGTTTTAAATAATTCGTAGTTAATGGACATATTGTTTACAATCAAGATGGATAGCTCTTTCATCTATTAAATAAGCTTTGTATAATTTTAAAATAATTGTAGTTTTGTTCAAAAAGCGTACTAGCTTATAAAAAAAAAATAATAAAATTTTATTATTGCACAACCTACATTATGATCATTGGATGTATCTCCAGGTACATCCGCTGAATTCTGCTTCGAAGAAAGATTTTCAACATTTTTCTTTCTACTGGCACATCTCCAAGTAGCATTGATAGGGGCTAAGCTTATGCCACACAACAGTGTGATCAGCGTGATTGATACAATGGCTCTCATTGTGCTTTAGCAGGCCTCTTGAACCAGAACCACTTCAACAGAACCAGAGCTCCTTAAGAATTGGCATCTTTCATCGCAGTAATACACAACGCTGCCATTGAGATTCTGAGTTCATCTGCTCGTTGCATATGATATTTAAGGAAAAAAAAAACTAAATAAATAATTACAGTAAAATTAAATTTAAAAATGCTGTATAGTTCCTCCTCTTATTTGTACTTTTGCTTTTAACGACCTTTGAGAATTTTATAAGAAATACTATTAGTCTTTTGTGATCTTTAAAAACAATGAAAATATCATACAACTCGAATTTGCATTTGTCAAAGTTGTCAACGTACGAGATATATTCCTTCCGTCTCCAGCTAACGTCGGTCCGCAGGTCAAACATTCAATAAACTTTATATATAATCATATTACGCAAAATCGACTTAATTTTTTCAACTTTATCAACGTGAATAAACATATGACGTTATATATGTATATATATTCAACGAACACGCTCGACTCCTTTTTGCAATGCATTATCAAATTTTTAAATCCAGTTATACGCAGTAATCCTCGCGAGAGAGAAAGAGAGACGTTTAAGCCGTTCCGTGGCACGTTGCATGACGCAAATCTAACGAGCAGAAAGTAATGCGAGATCTCATCTGTGACATGATTGATTAATCAGAGTTTCCTTACGCGGTCAGGCGAGCGCGATATCGAGCGGCCGGGGCGACGATCGCGGGACATCGACGGCGGTGAAACGGAGGCGTTTTCGACGGCGCGGCTCGGGGCAGCAAGTTACGGCACACGACGTTGCGGTACGTCGGGATTTCTATCTACGCGCGCGTCCCACGGGAAATTGGCAAAAAAAGGCGAAACGTCGCGCGTGTATACGGACGCGCGCCGCGCGACGTGCGTTTACGCAAAACGAGACGACGAGGCCACTCACGTTCCGCTCGGTGGTCCCCCGTGGAAGTCCGTCGTGGCTCACGCGAATTATTGCGGCCGCCGTCGGGTGCGACATCGCACCATCCCCTCAAAACGCCGAGCACATTTGAACAAAGCGTCGCGTGAATCTCGTATACTTGACAGGCAGCCCGTGTCCATTGAGTCGCGTCCCGATCGCGCGTTCGCGAACGCATCGCGCGCGCGCGTCCGGCCGCCACTCGCATCGCGCGAAATCTTACGGGCGCGACTCGCATGAGAATCGATTAGAACGGGGGGGGGGAGCCCGATTGGACTCCGATTATAAGTTTACAGGGGTGGACGGGGCTATTCGGAACCCTCGCTACATCTCGAACGCCGCACATTAGAACACCGAATGCGAGCGTCATGTAACCGTAAATGTCAGACTAAAAAGGCGCGATCTATATAGGTAAAATCCATTTTGACATTCGGTAAAATGCATGAGTATTCGAGATATAGCGAGGGTTTCCGAATAGCCTCGTCCTTCCCTATACTTATTGTCAATTTTTTTTCCCGCCGCATTGAACGCGCAAAAACAAAGGATCAAGATAATTATTCTTTTCTTCAATATATTTAATAATTAATAACCGACGAGGTATTAAAGACGGTCGGCCAAAGGCACATATATATTTTCGTGCCTGAAAGGTGGGCTCGGGGGGTAATCAAACGTAGACCTATTAATGAATGAATCGGCGCACGAGATTCAAATAGATCCGTTTCAAACAGATGCGTCCCATGTCATGCACGATGCGCATAATTTATCATTTTATCCTTGTTTAATATTCCAGCGAACAGCAAGGATAAAAATGTTACATTATCGCGCACCCCTCACGAAACGGAGTGCAACCCAATTGGTCGGCCATGACGCACACGCGGCCAATCGGCGATCGCGTGTACGGCTACCTCGATCAATTGTACTCGCTCGACTTTGCGCGGGTAGATCCGCCACTCGCTGGTGCCGCGGCCAATCGGAGCTGAGCGTCGTGTCCCCGCTGCGTGTTTTCGGTATTTGTCGTGCAAATGGCGGTTGTCGCAGTGTTTTGTGCGATGCTCCTCCGGGATTAACTACGCCACAACGTAAGCGCGGTGTTTGACAAGCGGAAGCGTGCGACAGAGCGAACCGGTACCGCGACGGCGGTCCATTCGTAATCATGGTGAAGCTGCAAAAGAGATTCGTGGCCGGTGACAAGGTGTTCGCGAAGGTTCGAGGTTACCCGCCATGGCCAGCCAAGGTGAGCTCGTGCACGGGACGCGATGCCGCCGCCCGGGCGACGAGCGAACGTCCCCGGTGGCCGACGCGCCGTGCGCGGCGTTACCCGCCGTCGTCCCCGCGACCGACCGACCGCGACGTAGCGAGGTGCGGTGACGTAAATTATTCAAAAATCACGGCCCGAGAGATCGCGTTTGTTGCGCGTGGGCTGCGTGCGGTCTCGGAACGTCCCGCGGTTCTCGCCTAGGAGCGAGAAAAGCGCGGGAGCATCCGCACGCAGAATGCGCGTTAACATCTGCGATAGTCCGCCGAGTGGCACGTTACCGACCACGCTAATCAGCGCGCGTCGCTGCTTTACGCGCTTGTCAATATTCGATAATTTGCCATATAATTATGTATGCATGTAATTCGTAAGATCACATCTCGACACAGATCGTTGACATACCTCCTCTCCTGATGGAGGAACGTATATCCTCAATTTTTATGTTGGTCACATAAAAATTCGTCGTGTGTGTCGCTTCATCTGTTTGCATATCGCTTCATCTGTTTGCAGGTTGAAAAAGTCAGTGATCCAAATTCCAAGAACGCTAAATACAGCGTCTACTTTTACGGCACAGGTGAAACGTAAGTACATCCTGTAATTCTAGATCTAGGGAATATTATTGAAGGATATTTTTATCTAATGAAATGTTAAATTTTGCAGAGCTGTTTGCAAAGTTGATGAATTATACACCTATGCTGAAAATAAAGAAAAATATGGCAAACCTAGTCGACGAAAGTTCTTTCATGAAGGTATGCAGCAGCTTGAGCAAGAACTTAAAAATGACAGAAATAAGCCTTTGGCAGATATTGCTGCTATTAAAGGTAGTTATTAATATTATCTTGATATATATAATAACATTTCGTAATAAATAATTATTTTATAAAGTCCAAATTAAATATTTATCTTATTATTTGAATGAATCATATTATTATAAATGACATTTTGTCTAAAGGTGCTGAAGCGACAGAATTACCGACTGCTGCCAGTGCCGCAGACAGTGATGTGGAAACTGGTTCCTTGGTAATAGACGAAGGGGAGAAAAAGAAACCAGTGAAGAGGAAAGTTCTCACATCCACAGCCAATACTCCGGTAAGCAACATTCATTTGTTGCTCCTTGTACAAGGCAATATTTTGGAGTACATAAATACATGTTTTACAATACTGTGCAAAAAAACAGTCATTGACAAATGTACTCCAAGAAAAATTCAGGAACTGCCGACAAACATTTTTAAAGTTTAAATTGTTTGTGCGATTGTTCCTTATACTTTCATACATGTCTAAATAAATATATGAGTATAATTACTTATGATAAATTCATGTAACAATGCAGCAGGATGTTCCGGAAGTAAAGAAAAAACGTGGTAGAGGAAAAGCTTCGAATGATACATCAAAACAAGAAGCTTTAGATTCGCAAGGTGAAGAATCACCTAAAGAGGTAGTTAGCCGCAGCGGACGCAAGATAAAGCCAAAACGATTTGCAGATTTTTCGAGTTCAGACGAAACTGAAACTAATATAGGTAAGAACATCTGTCTTTATAACAATCATTTTTTATATTTATTTTTTAGAGAATTTATTCTGCAACTTTATGGGATAGAAAATATTTAAATAATAAATTATAAAATAATCGACTTTTTATTAGCTTTTACTTTTAGTTTAATGCACAATGTGTTTCTAATAGAACAGTGTTCTTTTTAGCTGAACTGGCTGCCGCTAGTTCATAATTTATCTTTCTCTTTCTACATTGGAAGAAGAAAGATAAACTCTAAACTAGTGCAGCCAGTTCAGCTAAAAAAAAACAGATCTAATAATGCATTGAGTTCAAATATTAATCAATTGAGTTTATGTCCCAATTGTAGTTATTTACTACATTCGATATCATACAATATATATTCTTTATACGAAAGATAAAAAGATTAATTACCCTGATAATAACTAATATTTAAAGGTAGGAGCACAGTAAAGAGACTTACACCAATACCACATTTAACGGTGGATAACGAAACGCAGACTCCTTCATCAGAAATATATTATTCTGAAAAATATTCAAGACTTACGGAAGGCAATGAAACTCGGGATTTATCTTCAAAAGAATTAAAAAGATTAGTTCTTTTGGAACAGCTGTCATTAATTCGTATACAAAAATCTAAATTTTTATGTGTAAATGTGCCGCACCTGTAAATTTTTATATGTAAATATTTTACTTAACCTTTCATTAATAAAAAACTTCAAAATATTTGTTTTTTGAAAATACTTTTTATCTCTTTATGTCCCTACTTTTTTATGATAGTTCTACTGAATTCCCATTTAATTACTTCAATACTACCTTGGGGGAAAATATACTTAATTATGTTTATTGAAGCTTGTTTATAACAGAAAGTCGGTTATTTTTTATGTACTTGTATTTAATAATATTAATGTAATTATATTATTTTTAATAATTGTATGATTTTAAAAATAAATTACGATTGTAAGTATTATTTCTGTTTAGAACATTCTGGTCGAGGTCGTAAAGCAAAAAACGAAGATTCTAACGAGCACCAAATTACACCAAATGTGACGCATAAAAAAAGAGCTGCTATCGAAAGTAGGCATTTGCGCGAATAACTTTTTACTTTTTTTTATTTTAATCTCTTTAGTTATAACTTGTTAGAGATACTATTTATCTAATTTACAGAAAGAAATAATGACGGATCGATACTTGATGGAAGTACCGTAGTGTCAAGTGTTACATCTTCTGATACACCAAGCCGAGTTCTCTTAGCTCGTACATTTGCTGGAGAACATGTAGGCATTAAGTTGGATATAGGTAGGCCAAAGTCTTTCGAAAGTGATAAAGCTCGAGCGCAATGGGATTGGTCAACTGCTAGGAATGCTATGAAGCTCAAAGCACAATTAGAGAGCGGTGAAATTTTGCCAGAACAAGTAAAGGATTCTCTAGATTTTAATGTACCCGTCCCGGAAGATGAGAAACGACTTTTGACAAAAGATGGAGCTGTTCATCGCAAAACATATAAACTGAGGTATGTAATAAAATGTTATATTGTTTACTAGTTAGCTCACTAGAGTGTTCACAGTATTTGTAGTGTTGACTTATTAAGTATACTTATATAATATCACGTCTTCGTAGATGGCTTCGTATAGAGGCTCAACTCTTACAATTAGATGCTCAAATAAAATCTAATCTTGGTTTGGATCGAGCCAATACAGATAAATGCTTACAAGCGATGGATGAAATTTTGGCTCTTCCAATTGATCCTCTAATGCTGAAGAAACATCCTCATATTGTTGAAACAGTGAAAAGGGTAAATAATATATCGAGTTTCTCAATAATGTTCTAATATTACAGTAATTTTGTCTCACTAATCGTCTCTTATTTTAGCTGCGACGATATATTGGAAATTTAGGAGAGTGGAAGTTAAGCGAGGCAGAAGGGGTATGTATAAAACGAGCAGACTTGTGCATTTATATTACACTATATTTATAGTGCAATATTTATATTTGTCTAATACACAGTGCTAATATTTTTATTCTGCTATAATACATATATAACGCTTGTTGTAGGCTGTTTTTAAACAAAAAGCAGAGCAGATTAGACAAAAAGCTGAGCATATATATAACAAGTATAAGGTAATGTATCATGTAAATATAGATATTTACATCCATTTTTTTTTATCTTTACTTATATACTGAAAAATATACAGGCTATGTTTACTATACCTGAGGGTCAATCATTTTGGCAATCATTTTCCGATCAAGTGGTCCATTTCAAAAAATTAACGAAAGATATGCCCGAAGAAAAGGTATTTTCATTGATGTCCGATCCTGCTTGTTCAGGTAATTTTACTATCATTGTACATTTAATAGAGAGCAATAGATTTATAAGTGTCTTTAAAATAATTAAAATTATATGTCAAAATTAAAAAGTATATTCTGTGATAAATATTGTAAATATCAATGTATACAAAGTACTATATCGGAAAATTTATCTGCAGATGATTGTGGTAACCAATTGGATGTGATTCAAGCAGAGCCAATAGCGGGGCAAGAGGCAGAGTGTGAAGTGACAGCTGAGCTGGAACCAAAAGCAAATACGGAAACCGAATCAATAGCACAAGCACAGACCGAAGCAGAGTCAGAACCATTTGCTGGAAAGGAAGTAGAAGCAGAAGTGCCTACTAGAAGTGAGAGTCCTAAAAATGAAGCAGCCAAGTAACATATGTAAAACTTTTTTTATCCAATAATGTAAACTTCTGCTTATTTTCTTTGTATATCATTACGGTACTAAAAGAAAAAGAACATATAATTGAAAGTATCGGGCGCATTCGTGAAACGTCATATTTTGGCTATAATTTTTCATCCTTTTTCTATTTTTCATACATGGCAAAGTATCGTTTAATAATACATTTTTACATACGTGACTCCTACAATACTTACGGAGAAAATGATAAAATTCGGTAAATTTAACTTTATTTTATAAAATGTAACAAACATCTCCTATTACATCCCTTTTTATTTACATTGAAATATAACTTAATGCTCATATATGTATGATTATACATATATACCTATATATACATTTAATATGACAGTTATAATTATATATATAAATATATAATTATATATGATTAGTTATAAATGATTATATATTGATTAATCATATATAATTATATATGATATATTGAAATTTAACTAAACAACTGACTATCGAGTTCCGTTACAAATTCGTGAGTTTAAGTATATTTATTTTTTGACATCTATCGACATTATTTAACGAAAGTATAAAATAAAAATTAACTTTTACTTATATGTATGAGCCATGCAAATAGCTGTTGTTGCAATAACGTTGGAAATAATATTATCGAAAAAAAATGAAAAATTAAGAATCATAAAAGCATCTTAAGATAATCCTGCAAATGCGAGCGATATCACTATTGTGCACATGGAAATTAATCATTTGAATTAGTTCCGTTACACTTTATTTCGTGATGAATTTGTGATGAAATATTCACATTAGATGATCGCAATACACTCATTATTATTTGATGCAATATCTACAATCACTAACTGGACAATATCGGACAAACATTTACTGTCAGATATTATCGAATAAAAATGGCTGAGTGAATAAAATTAGATAAGACGCAGTATTTTTCCTTGACAGTAACATAATGCTGCCATGTATCGAAATACTAATCTTTGTATATTCAGCCGGTGCCATGAAAAATTTGTAAAGAGCACTTAAACATTGTTACTGTCACACAAAACTTACTTATTTAGTTATTATAATTGATGTTAGTAAAATAAATATTGCATAAGAATTATAGCAATGAACGATACAGATGTATTGTGAATTCTTGGTACTTGCATCTCATTAACGCAAGTTTTCCATCTTTGTCTTTTAGTTTTCTTTATTACATGAAAACAATTACTTATATTCATCGCATTTTTGAAGATAAAAATGTGTATTATTAATGCATGCATCACTGCGTTTCTTTAAAAATATTTATGATATGATAAACATAATTATAATATAAAATATTGTCTTTTATTTTGTATAATTGAATCATTACTGTCTTCATCAATATCGTTGGTATTATAAAATTAAATAATATAATAAAATTTTAAAATGCTTGTGAAACGGTATCGAAATTGTACAAATTAGGTAAGAACAAACAATTTTCGGACATTATCATGGGCGACATTGCAATTACTATAAGCATTTAACTGATTGGTAAGTATTAAATTTGATTTTGTAATTAATAATACATATCCAATATTACAGAAAAGATCAGAAATTATTGATGATGTAATTTTTGTATCGAAATGTTCATGTCGAAAATTAAAATAAACTATTGTAGCAGAGACGTTATGGCGTCGAACATATTTTATCAATAGACTTATGTAGATAGAGCATATTCGTATGCTACAGCTGATAATAATATTGAAAGACAGAAATATACGTGTTACAAATATAAGAATGAGGATAAGAGAGAGAAAATAATGCGCATCTCTTTCTAATAACAGGAATGATTGCTTCTTTTTTTCTTTTTCTTTAGTAATTATATTACATAATCGAATAAGAAAAATTATCATTCTACTTCTTTTATTGAGTTAACTTTCAATGAAGTAAGCAATTTATCTATATGAATCTTTATGACTATGATTTTATATATCCTGCAAGTCAAAAATAATTTTGTTTCCATAAAAATGTAAAATAGAGATATTTTAATTATATATTGAATTTATCTAATATATGAAAATTATAAGAAATAAAAGGAAAATTATAGTCAAATATACACATATTTAATAATCATATTTATAGTTTTAATTTTATAATCCCATATATTGATAAATGTAAATTTATAAATGTAATTCTAATAAATATTGCACATTTAAAATTATAATTTTTTTATATCAAAATATTTTATTATAATACTTTTATTGTAGACACCTTTTTTTATTTAGTTTAATTTCTTACAAATTTATGAATTACGCTAAATATTTGTGTATATATACACAACTAAAATTGAAATTTAATATGATAATTATATTATCTAATTCTACTGTATGCTATGTACATACATGTATTATAAAACCGTAATCGTGATTTTTGTATAAAATCGAAGAATATTTGAATAATTGAACAAGTTAAATTTCGTACAATAAATCTTTCTCTCGTAATATTCACTTTTAAGGAAGTGACGTGAAGTCAATATTTGCATGTAATTATTGCTTCCTTTTCATGACGCTAACATGATAAGCATTCCATGGTCATCTCGATGTCTACATGTCGTACGTTGCTTCGTATCCTTCGTATCCTTCGTATCGCATAAGCAGTTGCGTGTTTTAATAGTTAACGTAAACGTATATATTACGTATAATAATTATCTACATGTGGTATCACACAGTGGTATATTATCATGCGACATAATGCAGTTGCTCGTTCATTCAATCAAATCGATATATTGATAAAAATTGACATATCACTGGGCAGGGTTAAGCTCATCAAATGCATGTGCCACATAAAGCCCCTTGCACAATGCATATACTATGAAATACACGGTTTCTGATAGATTGAAATTTTTATTTCTATCGCTATCGCTATTCCTTCATGTATTGTGCAAGGGACTTATGAGCTTTTGAGCGACAACGATTTGTGACAACGCTATGTTTTAAGTAGGCTCGCTTCTTCGTCAGTTTTTCAAGCCCTCAGAGTATTTGAGCTACCACTAATTCGTGAAAACAGACTAATTAACGCGCCATGTATTAATTCTATTTAACGATTCATGGCAATGTTACGCTTTTTGTACAACAAATAAAATTAGCTTTCCTGTCGTTGGGTTTTCTAGTTCTCAGGATGCTAAATTATCATCACCTCGCCAAGGTTGTAAGTACGTTTCTATACGAGAGTTCCAACAAATGAGCACCAAATTTCATAAGTCATAACACATATTATGTATACCATTGATACGAAATATTTGATATAATAAACTAAATGCCAAATATTTTATATACTCAATGCATTACAAAGTTAATTAATTATTAATAATTAGCATTTGATATATCATGCGGTTATCCATTATTTTAATTATTCTTACATATTACTCGATCCTTATTTGTGTATATATATTCAATTTAAAATTAATTGGCAAATTATATCTAGATAAACGAATACTTTAAAACGCAATAGAGAATTTATTAAAATATTTGTAAAGAATTAATAATGATCCGTAAATGTAGTTAATTAATTATTTATAATTGTATTTATAATTCTCTTCTATCATTCTTGTTTAGTAAAAAAGAATCGTGCAGAAAACCGCTAAATGGTTATCATCATAATACTGTTACAAAAATTTCATAAATTATACGAAATATTAAATCGGATAACTTCATGATACTAAAAAAAGAAAAAAATCTTGTTAAAGCGAAAGAAATTAAATATTTAATGCTAAAACATTTTTACATATTTTACATATTTTTACATAAGTAAAAATTTATATATATAGTACTAATTAGTGACGATTATATAATGTTATCATTGGTGTAGACTATGTAATTATGCGGAACTTATTTTGAATTGTGTTCGTTAATTAGTGCTATAATTTAACATTACAGTTGAAGAAACTGCAAAGAATATATTCTTATCGTATCCGTGTATATCATGTGCAATCGACTGTTTTTATCGTGGGATCCGCGTCGGCTGATATAGAGCTGTGCTAGCTAAATATCGACTTTGTTTTTAATCACACGTTTGTGACATTCACGAATTTAATATTTAATAATGTTTTGCATACATACTTGCAAGAAAGATAATGTTTTGCGTACTTGCTGCGTATGCTCAGTGCAACTTTGTGAGAATAAAGAGCAACGTAGATTCGAGTATAAGTGCATTCAGTAGACTTGCAAGTGGTCATACATTCATATTTATCGTAAGTAATTTGGATTCAGAGCAACTAGAAAAATAGATATTGATAAAACAAAACGGGCACCATTTAAAATTATCAATTTATGAATAATGCACGTGCAAACGTTTTAGTAAATAAAACTTACAGAATAAATTTAAAAACAATCTCTACACACAAATATCTTGCACAAGAAAACATATCTAAGAAGATCGAAATAAAATACAGAAAGTGCAAATCATAAAACAAGGTATGTGAATATGCATAAATTGACGAGACGTAATGAAGAAGAGAGATAGACATTAACTTTAAATTAAATTATGGAAGAAGATAGTCGTTGCAAGAATGTTTCCGATTTGGTTGAGAATTTAATGAATGCCAATAAAATCTCGAATTTCTTAGGAAACACAAATAAAGAAAACGCCGTTGATGAAAAAAATAGTAAACAGAAAGTGATCAAAATAAAATCAAATTCGCCACATCAGGATTTATTCTGGATGCTTCGAATGTCGATAATCTTTTTCAAGCTCATCGGTCTCGCCACATTTGCCCACTGTATCGTGACGCAAAAAAAGAGAACGTTATACACATTTCAATACTCTGGATTTGGAATCGTCTACAATATCGTGCTGAGTAGTTTAATAATCGCCTCGAATTACGTGTCGATACCGTTCACAATCGATATGGAGTATGAGAACAAGACGAACTTGACCGTATACATCGAGGTTGTGCAAACTGTACTTGGTAGCCTGGTGATCTGCGCAATTTTGTTTAACTACTGCATCGACCAAAAGTCCTTGGTGCGGATCGCCGATCGACTGATGAACGTCGAGGACGAGATGGATCGTCTGTACGATCTGTATCGTCCGCTGCGACGACAGCGTATCTTCTTCACTATGATAAGCGCATGTGTCTTGAAGGTTTTCCTGCTGATCCTTCTCCTTGCCACCGAGATCCTAGCCTTTCACACGAGCCCGATCTCCTGGCTGACGGACATTATACCGACATTTCACGTGGGTTGGTTATTCATGCAGTACTTTCTGTTGGTCACGATCATCCAGGCGGATTTCGCCGATGTGAACCAGGCGATACGGAGCCTCACCAGGGTCAGCACGCCTGATCTACGGCCGCAGTCTCTCTACCAAACGCGTCGCGTCGTAGTCAGCAATTCCACCGTTCATCAGCTGCTGCAACTGCGGGATATGCATTGCCACCTCTGCGAGATCTCCGAGAATGTATCGGATTTTTATTCCTTACCAGTACTGTTCGGCATCACTTTTTTCTTTTTGGCACTCATATATAACAGTTATTATCTTCTCTCGTCTTTATTGATCGACGGTATTTTAAAGTACGAGACTCTCAGTAACACTATTGTCTGGTTAATATTTCTATTTTATCCCATTTTTCTCCTCGCCAACAGAATTACCAAGACTTTAAACGAGGTAGGATATATAATCGACATACCATATTAAGCTCGATTTTATATCGCAGTTTGATTGGATTGTTTTAATCAAGAAACGGATTATTTTTAACAGTATAGATAAAACAAATATTTTACAAAGTGTTTCAATTACAATCTTATTGTAGATGGAAAAAACGGGCAATATAGTGCACGATCTTTTAAGATGCGCAATCGGCAAAGAGACAAAGCAAGAGGTAAGAAACAAATTCAGATGAAACTTTATCAGTGACTCATCGAAACGACATTTATCACAGATCTGTTGCAGTTCAAGAAATTTTCGCTTGAATTGTTACATCGCAAGATAGAGTTTACAGCTAACGGGTACTTTCCTCTCGATAACAAGTTTTTTCGATCGGTGAGAATATTTAAAAAAATGTTATACGGGCAATTTAATTGAAATTAAATTTCCTTAATTAGTAATTTTAATTATCAGCTGATTGGTACGGCGATGACATATTTGGTGATACTTATGCAATTTCATATGGGAAGCTCAAATGGGAACAGACGCTGTTCGTCAAAACTGCATTATAACCGTACAGGGGAAGATATAAAAGCAGAATAATAAATTAAAGATAAGAATTGATATATAATAATATGTAAAATATGTAACTTTTTAAAATTGGGATCTCTCTCTTTCTCTCTTCTCTAATTAAATGGTAACACGCAGAATTGCAACTCTGAATCATCCTATTAAATTAAGTTTTTAATATATACGATTAGTTCTGATTTGCAGAACTAAACAACAAACATGTAAATATATATTGTACACATTGTTAATTTATTTAATATATATCATATTTATTAAAGCTAAATGTCGTTTGTTACGGATCACAATGATGAAATTTCAGTACAGATTTCTAACGTAAATTTTCTTCTTTAATGCTATCATATTCGTCATTACTCATTTTTCTTACAAAAACATCTTAATAATTAATTTTTTTCATTCCAAGTCAAATCACAAGTTTCTTGTTATGCCTTTGAAATGTTTCAGGTAAGCCTTATCAAGTAGCGAATTAATAAAAAATTATTAATTTGCATAAGTACAACACAAAATTTGCTTTTCAATGCAGCCCAGTTATAATAAAGGCTCATATTTTACGATATATTTTAGAGTGGTAAATAGTAATGAATCTTTCACTTTTAATTGCACATTATTTATTCAAAATAATATAGTATGGTTAAGAGATGTAATGACAGACATCGGCTATTTTCTTTGTCAAAACTCAAAAATTTCCGAGACATTTCCGTCATCCCTATATACTCGCCTATATTCTCAATCACAATCAATTATAACTCGGCGAGTATATAACACTAGCACTTATAAATTCACTGTGATACATGTGAAACAGTAAAATTATGATCTTCGAAGCTCATTTGAAGAGAGAATATGCTTCTATCTCTCTCTCTCTTTTTCTAGAGTAAGAGAGAAAAAAATTATGCTTTTCAAACAAAACGCAGACTCATTTTTCAAACCTGCCTGCTGAAACACTGCAACGTAAAAAAATATAATACTCAGAGAAAAAAAGAAAGCACCGCTTTCTTTCTCTCTCTTTTTCTAGAGTAAAAGAGAGAGAAAGAAAACGATGCTTTCTTTTTTTCTCTGAGTATTATATTTTTTTACGTTGCAGTGTTTCAGCAGGCAGGTTTGAAAAATGAGTCTGCGTTTTGTTTGAAGAGCATAATTTTTTGTAATAAAAATATACAAAAGTATACAGAGTATACATAAGTAATAAACAAATTATAATTTAATTGAAATCAACGATAGAATAATATAATTAAATAAGTGTTAAATAAAACGTTTTATATAACACTTTTTAAATTTTATTACTATTAAATGCAACATGGATTATTATTATGCGACATTGTCAATTCTCAAATAGAATATTTTGTAAAAAAAGATTCAGTAAGAATTTGTTGATAAAGAATTGTGCGTATGCGATACTAAAATTGTAAAATAATGTTATTACATTAAAAAGTAATATTAAAATTTATTCTACTTAAAATTTGAAGAAGCGAAATTATAATATGGAGTTTTATTTTTATTTTATTTAACTTTATTTTCTTCAAAGATACATAATTCTACACTAATTAATATTTGTTAAGCAGTTTAACAACATATTTAACAACAAACAAAATAATTATAAAATTATTAAATAATTTTGAACAATAAAGAAACGCGAATATCTAACGCTATCGATATGAAAAACTTGACGACATATTTTATACATATATTAATAATTAGATACGAATGTCAGCTTTATATTATATCCCTTTTTATGAATGATTAAGGCTGCATTTCACTTAATACTCGCAACACTTGCAAACATTATTTGTCCTTGTTTAATATTTGATAAGCATCAAGGATGAAATTATTTCAAAAGCGTTGCGAGCGTTAAGTGGAACACAGTCTAAAAACGGAGACTTTCAGATGTTTCAGACTGAAACATTCAGTGATTTATCTGTTATTATGAAAATATTTGTAATTGTGTTAATAACTTTGTTCTGGTATGAGAAATTTAGAATTGGTACGTAGAACATTCTAAAGCTAAATTATTTTTCTAGAAACATTGTCATTACCGGGAAGGTCTGATACAAATGTTTGATTTGCAATGTGTATAGAACTTGCACATTAAGCAGATACCATAGAATAGATAATCCACTAGTATATAATCTAAGCTTGAGTGTACTTTGCTTTACCATGTTATTTGAAAGTTTTGATGGATTGTGTCTAGATGGATGAAGGCAAAATTGTTCTACAGTCATATAATTAAAATATGAATCTCTAGAAAATTTTCATATAAATCACGAATATAAATGGGGAAAGAATATGTGATGTAACAGAATAAAAAACCAGTTAGTTTTAAATTAAATTGCGCAGAAATGTTCCCTGTTTGAAGTGTTAATTTTCACGAATGTCTATATATAAGACATCGATTTCTTTTAAATGCTTACGTAGATTAACAATGCAGACTTCTAAGTCTTTATACGGATATGACTTTAGGTCTTTAAATTGTGAGATGATGTGAAGTTCACCTTGATAGTAAAAGAAATATTTCATGTAGCACCGAAATATTATGCATAAAAAATGTACGATTTTATTATTTTAATGGAACTGACTAACGCTGAATGTAGATGAATGGGTAAGTATATGGGTATGTATGGTATGGTACTCGTATGTAGATATATGGGTTTAAGCAATATAGATTTACAATAATATAGGTTTAGATTATGCTAAAATTTTTACATAATCCATAAGAACTTATACTAAATGACAATTACATATAACATTGCAATTAAGCGGAACTATTATTTTGGGTCATGTTCCTTAATTGCGATAATCTAACTAATGTTATACTTGAAGAAACGAAGAACGTATACGAAGAATACGTATTCCGTATTCTTATCGTGTTGATATATCATGTCATATATATATAGGCAATAAATATTCCAGTGGATGTCACTTATAATAATATGTAACTCATGCGCCGGCAATCGGCTATTTTCATCGCGGGATCCGTGTCGGCTGATATAGAACTGAAATATCGACTTTACGTTCTTTTATCACACGTTTATGACTTTTACAAATTTAATATTTAATAATGTTTTGCATACATGATGCTCGCGAGAGAGGCATTTGCGGAAACGTCGGTGCTCATTGTCAGTGCTACTTCGTAAGAATAAAGCGCAACGTAGATTCGAGTACACGTGAATTTATCAAAATCGAAATTGGTCGTATATGACGTTCAAAAGATCGGGATTAATTTGGATTCAGAGCAACTGGAAAGATAGATATCGATAAAACAAGACGCGCACCTCTTAAATTATCAATTTATGAAAGATGCACGCGTGATACGTTTGATAAATAAGACTTAAAGTATGTAATTAAAAACATATTTATAAAGATTTTTATATAAATGTCTTGTCAAAGAAAACATTTTATCAAGACTTAATTAAAATATAAAAAATACAAAAGATATAAATCATGAAATAAGCACGTGAATATTATACATAAATTAACGTGACATAATGAAAAAGAGAAGTAAATATTAACTTTAAATTAAATTATGGAAGAAGATAATTGTGGCAAAAATGCCTTTGATTCGTTGAGAATTCAATCTTCATGGATGCCAATAAAATTTCCAATTTCTTGAGAAATCTAAATAAAAAAAATGTCACTGCGGAAAAAAATAGTAAACAGAAAATGACCAAAATAAAATCAGGATCGCATCAAAGTTCTTTATGGTTGTTTAAAATCTTGATAATGTTTTTCAAGTTCATCGGTCTCGCCACCTTCGCCTATCGTATCGACACGCAAAAAAAGAGAACGTCATACACATTTCAATACTCCGAATTTGGAATCGTCTGCAATGTCGTGCTGAGTATCTTAATGATTGCCTCGAACTGTCTGTCGATACCATTCAAGATAAACGTGGAATATGAGAACAAGTCGAACCTGACCGTAATTATCGAGGTTGTGCAAACTGTACTTGGTAGCCTGGTGATTTGCGTAATTTTATTTAGATACTGTATCGATCAAAAATCCTTGGTGCGGATCGCCAATCGATTAATGGATGTCGAACATGAAATAGATCGTCTGTATCATTTGTATCCTCCGCTACGACGGCAGCGTATCTTTTGCACTATGATCAGCGTCTGCGTCTTGAAGATTTTTCTGCTGATTTTTCTCCTAATCAGCGAGGTTTTCGCCTTCAACACGGGCCCGGTCTCCTGGCTGGGAGACGTTCTGCCGACGTTTCACGTGGGCTGGCTATTGATACAGTACAACCTATTGATTACCGTCATCCAGGCGAATTTCGCCGATGTAAATCGGGCGATACACAACCTTATCAGGGTCAACACGCCTGATCTACGGCCGCAGTGTCTCTATCAAACACGTCGCGTTGTAATCAGCAATTCTACCGTTCATCAGCTGCTGCAACTGCGAGATATGCACTGTCACCTCTGCGAAATCTCCGAGAATGTATCGGATTTTTATTCCTTACCAGTACTGTTTGGCATGACTTTTCTCTTTCTGACACTCATATATAACGGTTACTATCTTTTCTCACCTCTATTGATGACCGATAATATCTTAGAATACGAGACTTTCAGTAATACTATCATCTGGTTACTATTTCTGATGTATCCCATTTCTCTTCTCACCAACAGAATTACCAAGATTTTAATTGAGGTATGATAATCGAGATAGTAAGCTCGAATTGTTTTAATCGATACTTTTACTAAATATAATAAAACATCAAATATATTTTATGAAAAATTCCAATTATAAATTTATTATAGATAAGGAAAACAGGGAATGTGGTGAACAATCTTTTAAGTTGTGCGATTGGTAAAGAGACAAAGTCAGAGGTAAGAAATACAGATAAAATTTTTTTAGGGATTTGGTACTCATCGTAACGACATTTATCATAGATCTGTTGCAGCTTAAGCAATTTTCGCTTCAATTGCTACATCAGAAGATACAGTTCACAGCTAACGGATACTTTGCGCTTGATAACAGTTTTCTTCATTCGGTGAGAATATCTACATAGCATGTGAGCAGTTTATAAATTAAATTTCTTTAATTAATAATTTTGTTTATCAGCTGGTCGGCACGGTGGTAACATATTTGGTAATACTTGTGCAATTTCAAATGGGAAATTCGTTTTCAACGAGATCATATTATAACTGTACAAGAGAAGATTCAAAAGGAGAATAATAAATTGAAGATAAGAGTAGACATAATTATACGTATTTCGAAGTTGCTAAAATTTGGATTTAAAATTCAATTAAAAATCTAATATAATTCAATGCAAATCCAATTAAAAATTCAATTAAATTCAATGCATTGAATCAAGAGTTGCAGCTCTGTAACTTCCTATTGTAACTTCTCAATATATGATATATACGATTAGTTCTAATTTGAAGAACTAAAAGATAAAAATTTGTGAATTATTTGTATTATATGTTGTACATAAATTAATCTTGTTAATTAATTTGTTTAATATGTATTAATTAAAGTTAAACGACGCTCACTATGGAGCACAAGGAATGAAATTCTAGTACAGATTTCTAAACTTTCTTCTTTAATATCATCCATCGTTCGTCATTTATCTCATAAAAAAATCTTAATGATTAATATTCTTTATTACAAATAATGGAAATATTTCCGGTAAACTTTGTAATCAAATAACAAAATTAAACACTATAATTAATTCGCACAGATACAAAAGATATAAAATTCTCTTTTCATTGCAGTCCATCTGTAATACAGACTCAAATTTTGCGATGTATTTTGTAATGGGAAACAATATAATGAATCTTACAGTTTTAATTGCACATTATTTATTTAAAGTAACACAGCATGATTAAAGATATAATGACAGGCATCAGCTACTTTCCTTGTCAACTCGGAAACTAGTTTCCGAGATGCAGTCTTTCCTACCTAATCACAACCAATTAATACTACATCGGCGAGTATAGCCCATCCACCATCGTGAATTCGCTGCGATACGCGTGAAACTGTAATCTTCGAAGATCACTGGGAGAGATCAGATTCGAGTATCCTCGCGTCTCCTAATTAACACGTCGAAGATCACCGTTGAAACGCACTAGCACACATATCATACACTTTTTTTATTAAATTATTCTCATACTATACATTATTAATGAATTTTATTATTTGCATGTTTATTTTTGCACCTAGAAGATTGCGGCATGCCTTTCGTACTCCATATTTGTCTCATTACGATACGATACTCTTGGGCTTCAAACGTTACGTCATGCCGAGTTGATGTTGCAACCTCCGCTTAATACACATGCACGATTTTAAGTGATTCATATACGCGGAGGCACACTTTCTTTAGGTAAAAATATACTTAAAAGTACGCACAACTATACTTTCCAATGCGATATAAATGTTTCATATTGTTTAACTGTAGGTCTTCCCTTGAGCCATCCTACGAGTTAAATACATACATTGTAAAACGTAATCTCATAGCATTTTTTTTGTTTGCTTTATTAAGACATATTTTCTCAAACTACCTGTTAGTAAAATGGCCATATAAAAAAATATATTGTGAATATTTCTAATTATTTAATTTTTTAGAAATTCCATGAAACATTTGCGCAATAAACGATTAAAGTTCAATAATTAGTTGAATTGAGGAATTAAGCTTTTAGGAATAAAATTCTTTATTATCGATAGATCTATTGCAGATCGTTTGAGAAAAGATATGCCCATTTTCTATTTAGTAAATTCCAAACTGATTCATACAAGTTACTTGTTAACGCAAATATTCGGTCGGAAAGCTTCAAAATTATTAATCTCTGTTATACAAGTTTAATGTAAAAACTGAATTATAATTTAATAAATTATTTTTTACTATAAGGAAAGTTGAAAAAATGATTTTTAATTTAAACAAGAACATATATGTATAAAAATTTTTACTTATACTTAATTCAAATAATTTTAATTAATAATGAATTATTTATATTATCCGACAGAATATCTTCATTATTATTTAGTAAACTTGTAAACAGTTACATGTCGCAGGCTGTACAGATTGGCGGTTATATTCTTCCCTCTTTAATTACGAACAACAACAGACTATCCTTCAAGGGATTGTTTTATCATTCTACACATCGTATGTATATTTTTCTAATACGTAAAATTTGTGTCAAAAATCTTGCGATAAAGAAATTAATTTTATTATAATTAGAATATTTTGATATTGTCACAATTGGGCATGTTTAAATATTAAAAAAGTTATAATTAATAAAGTTTGGAAATTCAACGTCCAAGATCTTGGCTAGACAGGAATTTTAAGAAGTAACAGAAATTCGCTATGTATTAATAATTATTTTTAAGAATTAACTTCTATCTAATATAATAATATATAGAGTATATTGGCAGAAAAACTAATTTTTTTTTTAAGTTTTTTCAATTCCGATTATTTTTATGAAGCGAAAGATTATTTCATGAATGTTCTGAAGAAGATTGTTCTACAGTTTTGCATTAAAAGACCGCTTTTGTAAAAATGGCAAGATAATATAGTATTTTTTGAAACCAGAAAAGTCAATATTATTCTATGTTGATTTGGGGTAAAGAACAAGAAATTTATCTGTACATTTCTTTTTTTTGCTCTTAGCTCACTGATAGTTTCTACCGTTCTTGTCCCCCAAGGTATCGTATTAATATAATATTATTAAAGAGAATGAATAAAAAATATTCAAGCGCAATTTTCTTAATAAATCATATTAGAGTTAGATTTACTTCCTTTTCAATATGCACCATCATTTAGCAACACTTGCTAGCAATATCCCTCGAAGGAAGTATTGATATACGTAATACATATTGCGGGGTTTCTTTGGCATATATACTTTATAATATGATTATAAAGTTACTTGAATCGCGCTACATGCAGTGTACATCATATTATTGCATGATAACACAATACTCTTGCTTATTTTTCTACTATTCCTATGATGATTCCTATGATATAAATCAGAATTTGACATACACGATGAACTTAAAATTACAGCTGTCAATATCCAAATACTCGAATAATTACAATTGCACACGCACTCGGATATTCGTTTCGCGGTATTTAGACACCTGCGATACTATGCTATTATTGTTGTTATTATTCTACCGTTTATTTCATACATATCATCTATAAGAGTGAAAATGATCGGTATTAATTATTCGAATATTTGAATGCGTTGAAGCTTGAGTAATTCGCCAGAAACATTGTAATTTTCCGTGAAAATTTGCATTTTATTTTGCAGTTTCGCATACGTGTTTTATAAATGCCACGTATGTATTTGTTCAGTGTCATATCACGATTTGGAAAAGTGTGCGTTTTCTTTTTTACAAATTTCTAGCGTAAACATATCCTTTTATTGACTCGTAAGTCAATAGATATCGTATCAATCTAGATCGTATCTAAACAAGATGCGTAGCAGAGATCTAAAAGATCACCTAAGATCTAAGAGATCTTTTTAGACTTTTCACCGTATTATATTTGCCGTCGTTACACTCACTAAAACGTAAAAACATGTACCTACTGTACGCTTTTATTACTTCAAAACAATTTCTCGAATTATTTGGAATCTTTTTCTCCCGTTTCTTTTTCTTCGTTTATCGCGCTGTTCACATATCCTTGCAATTCACATGCAATATTAATGAAGTGGGGAATTGATTGTTGCATAAATAACTACTAAAATAGATTGCTTTAACAATATGTAACATTATCGGGGATGAGAGATGAGGTTTCGTAAAATCACAATTGGATTTATTAGATATTATTGGCGAATCTTGTTGAATTGTTTTCTATGTACAAAACACATCGAGACTGTGTGTGGTGGATCTCATTTACAGTTGTATATAAATTGCGGGGTGCTCGCAAAGAGCGACGGGCTTTGTTCGCTAAATATAATACAAATATAATACAATTAAGGGTAATAATTAAATGATAAGAGATATTTGTAGAAGGGTACAAATTTTCTGGGAATTAAGTGGCATGATCGATGACCCTTATGTTCGTTAATGGCAATTAAAAAATGGCAATTTATAAGATAAGAATTGAGATTGCAGAGTAGAAACTCTAGAGACAAAAGTCTTGAAACGATCAAGTAAAGAAACTTGTATATTGTGTTAATATATGTTCGTTTTTGCTGTCTTCTTGTTAAACGGAAGTTTCTGCTGAGGTAGTACCATTTGCTTTTAAAGGACTGATGCTTTCCTTGGATCGTATTAAATCTACCTGAAATGTCGAATTGAAGTACTTATTAATTTTTTTTTAAGTTAGTCCTTAAATCTTCTTTTAGTACGCTTTTCCTAAAAAAGCGAGCAAAACAAAAAATATTGAATCGCATTTATTGATTATAATATCGTGAATTATCTATAAATTTAACAAAACTGACACGATTATAGATGTCATAAAGTTATGAAGACATACATTTAAAATTATTTTTTTATATTATTTTGTTCTACTCTTTTTATTTAATAATAGTAATAGCTTCATGAAAATATATTACATCATAGATATGAAGTAGTATTATATAGGTATTTTATGTACAATATATATGTATATATTACATATAAATGAAGATATACACAAAAGATACATACACTAATAAATACTGTAATAAAGATGCATATTCTATATTTTTCGAAAATCATTTTTTTATTATAAAGCTATCTTGTTCTTTTTTGGATGCAGAATATCTCATAATTTTAATAACAATTTCTTAAATAAATCTACGACAATAAATTTTTGATGTATGCATCTTATTGATATAACGCAAAGATAAATTTCGTAATGCTCATGCAACAGTAAAAAGCGACTATTACTGAAAACAATGAAAGAAAGGAACATGCGATTAGATATTTCCATCTCATTTTACAAAATTTGACATTTTACAATGTTACTTTATAAAATGGGAAAACGTTGTATTAGTCTGTTTCCTCGTAAATTTGTACATTTTGCAAAATTGTATTTTTGTTTAAATCACCTAGCTGATTAATTATCACTTATACAAGAAAAATACATATATATGTAATATATACAATATTTTAAAGAGTTAATCACTTCAAAGAGGGGAAGATATAAGTATTAGAAGGTGAAATACAAGTAGATGAAAGAATCAGACCTATATGTAACGTCTTCTCAGATCGTTTAATTATTTTGTTATTCGCATCAACGATGAACTACGTACGTATCTAATTGTAAGAGCATATATAAGCAAGAGTTGCAAAGTTGAATCTCATAGACGATTACGTTGTTATGAAAAAAAATAAAACATGATTAATCATACATGACAGACAGATTCTCATGACAATAATAAATTTAAGAAATATTTCTTGATTTATATCTTCTCGGATACTTCGCATAATTAAAATTACAATTACGGGTTTTTTTGTATAAATTTACGGTGAAATAAAATCTTGGAATAAAAACTACCATAAAATTTTCTGCTCAATTGTGAATATTTTATGTACACTTAAACGCAGTTAGGTGTTGTCGTATATGCTTACGTAATGAAAACGTAATTCTCGTCGTCTATGAAAATCCATGTTTTCTACAATGAGTCGTCCGCGTCTGAATTTGCTTTTTACGTCGACTCGACGAGGATTGTCATGCCATCCTCGTTTTTAAGTTTACTCACAGCGGCGGTGCATGGGATATGTTGCATGCCGGTTATATTGGTGCTCTTGCTGTGTGTCTTGCCATATGAATTGTCGGTTTTTTGGTGATGGTGATGGTAGTTAGAATTTAGAGTCATTTACATTTGTCACCTTGATCGAGATCCCACCGTCATCCTCGTCCTCTTCGGTCATTGTCGTCAGCCGCGTTGTCTCGTCGGCCAGCAACGAATTGTCTTTCTTCGGATGCTTCTTTTGCTTTCCCACACTGAGTCAGACAATTACAAATTTATAATCAGTTTTGAAAATTAATTGATAACAATTAAAAGTTGATATTCATATTAAGCTTTCCTCTTTTTATTCAAAAACTGTCAATATTGTAATCATCGTCATCATTGTTAAAAAGATTTTAACATTATGATGGAATATGTCTTTTATTTTTTATAGAAAAGTTTGTAATATATTAATTTATTATTAAAGTAATATTTTTTAAATTTTATGTTAGAAAGTCAAATTCTGACAATAAGAACGATATGAGAAGACGTTATATATCTGATTTTTCATCTACTTGCATTTCATCTTTGTATTACTTATTTCTCCTGCTTGAAACTATTGTTAAAATATTGTTTTACTATTGTATATTTTGTAATATTTTAATTTAAAGAGTTAATTATTTCAAACAGGCATGCAGCATATCAGGCATATTGTATGTAATTATTCATGTAAAAATGATCTAACGTCTAGATAATTAAAAAAATACAAATTTGCGCAATATGCATATTTAAAACAGGGAAACAGACTAATATAACGTTTACTCATTTTGTAAAATCACAAATGTGTAATCATGCTTTTATTGCAACTAATCACGTCGATCTTAAATTTATTCTTTTTGAATTGAATTAACTGAGGAACGGTTTGATTACAGTTTAATGATTAGCTATCTGTTTCCAGTCGCCTTGATAACATCTTGATTTTATACGGTCGCAATACCTTGCGTGTACGGAATTTGCGATGAGCTTTAATGAATACACAAGTAAGATTGATCCATCGTGGATGGATCACCTTGAAGAAGCTTTCTCGCAAAAAATTTCTGTATGTACTTTAGAAAAATAAAACATACAATTATATAATAAAATATAAAAGTAATATATAGAAAATAAAAACATAATGTAGTAAAAAAAAAATTATTAAAAATAAAATAAAATATAAATAAGGGGGAGAGAAAGCACAATAATTTTCAAATAATAAAATTAATAGCTATTAAAAATCATTAACAATAACTATATTATTCGGAAATTATTTGAAAATAAATTGTGTTTAATCGATGATTTTAATCATTCTATTTGTATCTTATTCCTTTTATTTATTTGTGTCTTATTTCTTTTATATAATATCTGAAAATATATATATAAAATTGTCCAATGAAATCTAATACCTACTTGATTAATGATTTTGACTGTTTCGTTTTTTCGTTGCCCTCATTGACCTGCTGCCAGATACCAGTTTTGTTCACCTCCTCGCTAATATTGATACTCGCCAAAGGGATCTTCATGATGTTCCCGTTGGCCAAAGAGATCTGAATGTTCCCCGGGGGTCCATATCCCATCGTTTCGTTGTGATCCTGCAGGACGAATGAAACAACAGTTTGAATCTCGACCTTGACGCGCGATGAATTTCTATCAGGCCATGCATAAATTCAAGCGAACTTTGCGTTGCCTTCGAATCGCTGGGAAGCAGGTGTGATACGTTGCTTGCCAGCATATGTATATCAGCCGTTCAATTACACGCGGCAATAAATTACAGATGTATACGAGATAGTAATAACAATCGTTCGGGGGCGGTCACGTAATGCGTTGCATTATGTATAAATTTTGTATAAATTACAAGGGTGTGACTTGGCGTGTGTAGATAATTCTAATAGAGGAATGCACAATGGAAAAAATTAGTGCGGCGAGCTCGTGTTGATGATAGAATTCTATTGGTAGTTTTGTGTTTCTTTTCTTTTCTTGGGGAGAGGAAATATGTAATTTTAATAAATAACGATTCTGTTCACCTTGAGAGTTACGATCAATATTTTGTATTATATCCGCGTGTAAATCAATTGATAATAAACGCTTATATCCTGTGAGGAGGTATGCATTTATGATACCAAATTAATTGGGAATGAATATAAATGTGCGAAAAGGCACATTTTAATTATTTCAACGTATGTCAATGTTCTTATTAATAATTTTGTGATTAAACAGTTAAACAGTCGTGCAGTTATACCAATACGTTCGTTTTGAATCCTCAACTATAAGCTGCAATATATCCTCGCCGCAATGTAATTTGCAGAAAATTCATAACATGCTGTTATTGCAATCAGTTTAGTGGCGCATAATTATTATTGAAACGTGTCTATCGCAATGTGCATCGTCACGTTCGTTCACCGAAGATACGGATAGGATGTTCGTTCCGAATCGTTTTCGTTTTGCGAAAAGAACATGACTGTCGGCTATATGCGGCGAAACTACGGACGTGCACTTCATGGTGACGTACCGATGACAGGCGGAGGATTCGACGACTTTCGGCGTTTTTTTCGTTTGCGATTTCCGTATCGATATCTCCATGTTTGTCCGGCTCGTGTGATTTCTCTTTCAGTCGCTCTCTCTCTTTCTCATTTTCTCTCTCGCTGAATCGTCACTCTCCTCCGTGAGTCATGGTGTGCTTCCGCTCAGTTATTCTGTCTTTAATTGCATTGTTAACAACGAACGCACGCTGTCGGCTGTTACACGGTGCGACGCCGACGCCTCGCTTAATTTACAAAGATTATCGCACGCTCGCGTTAATTAAAAAAGTGTTATACTCCTTTTTTACTCACATTATTTTATGAGAAAAAATACACATAATAATAATTACACCGTTTTATACACATCAAATTTATTTATCTTCGTAAAATTACGATCAATAATTTTGTTTCTTCGTTAATTTTTAGCATATATTTATAACGAAAAAGAAAATGGGAAAATAACAGAATTCAACGAGAACCTTTTTATAAAGTTTAATAAATATGTAATTTGTTATTTTTGCAGTTGTTAAAAGAATTGCGATTTTTAGAGTTATACACATTAAACTTAGTTTGTATTTAAATTAAGAATAAAATAAAATGTGTGAAACCTCCGAATAAAAAAGATTGAAGCAGAACAATGTAGTAAAAACGAGATTAATTTTATAACACATACAAGTAAATTTCGAGTTAATCATCGCGAAAAACATTAAGTTTATTGTTATTCAATATTAATTATTATTAATGTAGCATACTTCGCGTTCTTCTTCTATTCGTATATGATACTATTATATGAACTTTTCGATTAATAATAATTTTTGAGCAAATCGGAAATCTTCATATTTGACTACTGTGAGAGATAAGAAACTCTCACAAGGCAGACATACGTGTAAATTTACATGAGTCCATTAATTGTGTTAGGAGATGTTGGAATTATAAAGAGGTTTCGTGTGTTTCGAAACAATAATGTATTTTTACATGGTAAGATAAGTGAACTGTGTGTACGACGGCGCATATTAAATCGATACAAGAGTCCCGAGTGATCATTCACAGAAGAGGATATCGGCGACATGGCGATATATTAAATGCAACAGACACTTCGTTTCGCCAAGTCGCGAATATCGGTCGCGATGTGTCGATCGCTACTCGATGAATATCTTCGTTGGATATATCATTTGGATAGTAGGCAAACCTGCTTTCCGTTAATCAAGAGTATATTAAAAAAAAAATCTCGCAATGCAACGAACGTGTACTCTCCCATGGTGAACTGATCATGACTTTATTTCGAGCAGCCCTTTTGTCTGCTGTAACGTTGGAATGTATAAATTATATAGAAGTGCTACATTAATTTATTCGAATGTACGAACAAAAATGATACAATATTGCTTACCTTGCAACAATAATTTCTCTTAACTACTGTCAATAGTTTCGCAATGTCGCGCTCGATACGCGCGAGACTATTGCTTGTAACTATTATACTCGTATAAGAGTATCATCCAATTTCAATAATATTACATAATAACGAAGTAAAAGACTGCGTTTTCTTATCTCTATCTTAAATTCGCTTAAGGTCATATAACCAATATATGTATATATATCTATTTATATATATATATAAACAAAGATAATTATATATAATAATCCCATCAAAGACAATCACACATCAATGGAGACATCGATAAAAATTCATCGTGCGCGGTTCACCATTGAAGAATAATCGATAATAATCTGGAACGAACTGTTGCACAAAAAATAAAATTTCTCGGGTAGCCGTCGACGGTGTTCGAAGCGCTCGCAAAAACGATCAACACTCAACACAATACTCTAATCTCGCTACAACAACAATGCTATCGATAAAAATGTTTTAAGATTGCGGTATCCAAAAGTCTACCGTGTTCAAAAATTCAACAACAATTATTATTAACATTTACTTTAATACTGGTCGGTCGGTACCACCACCTGGATTTGAGGATTTCAGGGTTGTTTGGCACGTGTTCCAAGTGGAAGACGAGAGGATGGCTTTCGAGGCCGAGATCATTAAAAAAATATAAAAATTTGCCGCATAAATGCTCGAAGCAACAATATATCATATATATTTCCATGAAATGGCAAATTTCAAGCCGCGTTTTAAAAAATTTCTGCAGACTAAAGACAGTCTGTGTGTGCGCGCGCTTTTGAAACGTTTTTTTGCATAATATGTACCATTCTCGTCATCCTTGTTGTATTCAGGCGGTAAAATGTCATTTGCGAAAACAAAAAACTCTGGACCGTAAAAAGGAGCAAAGTGTTGTTTCGACGAAACAGTAAAAAGTGTGCGTTTTGCGTAGAAATCATTGGTCCGTCCGTTCTTTACTTTTTTTTTTATAATTATTAAAGGCCGAGTGTGCATTCTTAAATTATCTGTCGTATGCGTAATTATACGCTTTAAATTAAATTAAATTCTAGCCTCATTATTCGGAGATCCTATATCTTTACCCAAATCTAAATTTCCGCGCAGCAACGAAAAATTAATTCGTTTTAGATGACATTCGTTCCGATCACTCGTCGTAGTATACATCGTTTCTTCTGCAAAGGGCGGATTCTCCAAAATCGGAGAGAGTTATGGTGACCACGGGGCAAGCGTTCGCCACGCGATCACCGTCTGTATGCTATTTGCGACAGGTGATGGCGTTTAATATTCGTGTCGCGGTGCTAACCTCGCCGTTTTCCAGCTTACGAAGATCGTCGGCGTGTTTCCTGCTTGGTTCCGGCATTATGTCGTCGAGGATTTTCAGCTCGCGTTGCGTAAACATCAAATCCAGGGATTTGCGTATGCCAATCATTACCACAAGCTGTAAAGTTTTACACAAGCTGATTTATAATATTCTGGAAAATGTGTCACTTTATTTGCTTAAGATATGTCAATTCTGAGCTCTAGATTAATTAATTTTCGGCTTTATGGCTGTTACAATAAGAACTTAATATTACGTCTAACTGTGTATTACGAGATAATTTTACGAGAAAAATATATACTGATTTTCTTAATAAAATTATGAATATTCTTGAAATATTCTTTAACAATTTAATTTAATTTGTAAAATAATTTATTAAATGTTGAGTTAAACAAAAAGTTTGTTCCAAAAAAATTTTTTTGCTAAGAGATAGCATTAGTATAACTACAAAAAGAAATAGAACGAACTTTTTGTTTAAACTAATAAAATGGTTATTTATAATTTTTTGTACAAAGACTTGTATCTTTGTACAATATATTGTATTTATAAGTATTCGAAAAAGAATAGAATATTTCCGTTAATTTTTCTGTTTACTTAATTAGAATTAATAGCTCGAGAAAATTACGAGTTACGAATAACTTGTCGAAGAAGCGATCCTTTGATTAATTACTCACCATTAAAGGGAACAAAATGGAAGTATGACTAAAGGATTTTATGAGCCATAGACAGATGAGGCAAGTAAGCTGAATCGCAGTAAACATGTGTACGCGTTTTAATGGTACCTAAAAACATATATTTTCTTGAAATATTGGAAATATCATAGCTTCAAATAATCAGATCAATAGAAATTATATTTACATTTTAAAAAATATTTTGAAATGTATATATTTCATTAATATAATAATATATCTTTGAAGAAGAAAACAAATCGAATAAATGTGTCTTGAGAGCTACTTTGAAGATATTCAAACGTCGAGAACCATTCTTCGCTTACCTGGCGGAGAAACATGTAGTCCGGCTGATACTTAACGGGCATCAGCATTATCAGAATCCTATCGAAGAATTGAAGACCTTTCAGCGACGCAACGCCCATGTACAGGAAGACACCGAACAGCACCGGCATCGGTATGTTTCTCAGCATCGGCGTTAGGAGCACCGAGCATCCGATCATCAGGAAAATCAGTATGTGAGTAACTCTCTGCTCGCGGACACCTAAAAACTGCGGCTTTTCGCCCGGCGCGGCGCACTCGGATTCCAATTTCAACGAGTTGACGTGATTTATAGAGAGGACTGTCGCCGCGACGAACCATGGAAGTCCCATCGCTGAGCATATCTGAATCAGGATCGCCAGGATGAAAAGATCCAAATGGTACCCGCATCCTTTCTAAAAAAAAAAGCATCAATAAAATCATTGACACAATTTACTATTGAGAATTGTTACTTTTATTCAATTGTAATCTTTTTTTTCATATTTCATATGACATTCATTAACGAGAATAGAGGCGTAACTATACTGAAGCATCGTAATTGCTCACCTTTAATTTGTTCTCTTTTCTATTAACAATAACGGCCGTGATTTGCTGATCCATGAAGATCAATATAGTGCCCAATAAAGCGGGGAGGAATGCCCCGATAGCACTCCACCACGGATTCCCTTGAAAAGGCCAGATTATCCATCCTCGTCCCTCGAGCGTTGGCTTGAACTCCGCCGGCACCTCCAATTTCGGCGTTGGAATGGCCACAAAATGATCCAATGTGCTCATAGAGAATATCGCGATTATTACTGCGAAATCGCTCACCACTTGTCTCACCTGAAGTAATTACAGGAATGTCAAGAAAGAAAATTGCATGATAGATGTGTGACAATAAGATTTCATGAATTATTATTTATATTCCTAAAATAAATAAAAATATGTGTATAAATATATCTTTATCGGATATATATATATAACGATTGCAGTAATCTTATAACTTCTTCAATCTTTATCTCCAAAGAAGATAAAGCTGGTTGTACACCGTTTTCCTTTAATTAAAGCATATGTTTCTACCTTCGAAGGAAAGAATAAAGCGTTCTTGAAATCCTTGAGCTCTATTGATAGTAAGAACGTGCCCATGAATAGGATAATTGACATAAGGAACACGTCGGGTACATAATGCGGTACGCTGCAGCCATCGCCCACCATAGTGCCATTGTAATTCTGAAAGAAGCAATAACGAACGCGGCGTCAAAGAGGAAGAGCGAATTGGATTGCCTGAAAAGGCATCATATTTTCTTGCGAATTCAGGAACACCTAGTAATCTAGTTTGCTCGCAGGAACCTGTAATTTCTCGAGAAGGAGCGAGTAGAGCATACGCGTTTGATTGTTGCGATTGAGCGTAACGAGACGGTTTGTGTGCTCGACGTTTCTCATCACTCACGTAAACGTATCAAAAGCGAGCTGATATTCAAATGGAGTTTGCAATTTCGTGTCTACGACACGAGGCTACGCGAATAGCTAAAACGAAAGTTGCTTTGATAATCTTTTTAGTAATATTTATAGCCATATTGGCGCACTTTAATCCAGATTTCGAGATAATGTATATAAATAGAACAATCTATTGTTTTTGGTTAACAACAAGTAAATTATTGCATATGATTGACTTCTCATATTGACTATTATTTCGGATATCGTGTTACCTCGCAAGTTGTTTTATCCAACGTCGTCCAATTCATGTTGTTATAACTGGATGGCAGACTGGTATTCGGTGGTTTGCACCAGCAATCGAGGTCCAGCATATCGCTAGGGTAGGTATTTAAAGGATATTTCTTGCCGATCGACAGCACATTTTCGATAGCCTAGAATGTAATGCACTTAATATATTTAAATATTAAATAGATAATAATATTAAAAAATGTCATAAAAGCGATTTATATTTTTCGCTCGAGTAATCAAATATATAGCATTTCTTTCATTATGAAAAAATACGGTTTTTAAAACGCTTTAATACGATAGAATATGGAAAGAATCGATAGAAAAACTTAATAAATCAGTAGTCCATCTTATTATGTAGCAGTATGATTATTCTCACCTTATAGATAAAAATGAAGGCGATGAGGGTGGCAAAATTTTCCTCCGTAAATCGAGTGATGTAACAGACGCAGGCACTCGCGTCGAGAGCCACGAGAATCATCAGAATTACGGAGATCCATGTACCGATCCAAAAACGGAAGGACATGTAAGTCCAGTCGACTTTTCTGCAAAAAGAATAACGATCTGATCAGATTATCTCGAAGAAAGAAAATGTTATTGGATAAGATTTTATATTTTATATATTCATCAACTCTATCTTCATCTAGTTACAATACAAAAAATGCTAATTAGATACAGAAAGCAGTGAAAAATGTTGCTACAGAAGCTGATTGAGACGTAGATAGATTCTATCAAGACTCACTTGCAAAATTCGTAGACGATCGTCTCGAAAACGAGAACCGGACCAGTGGAACCGAGTATAGTCAATGGCTGACCAGAGAAGAAGCCGTATCCTATGCCGCAGACGAAACCGGAAACCAGCGATTCCATAGCGGCCATGTTCTTGCCGGTGGCCTCGCTGAGGAGGCCACCGAAGGTAATGATGGGTGACAAACAGGCGAAATACAAGAAAATGAAAGAAGCGACGCATTGAAGAGCAAGGGCATCCTTGAAGTCGGAAACATAAAATGGAGCTTTTCTTTTAAAGTCGTTGATCAGACCGCCAAACAGTCTACCGCTTCTCGAAAGGCCGGATTCTTCCCTTAGCTTTTGTTCGTCGGCTTCCTCGTCGAACTCTTCCTTAGGCTTTTCCTCCTTCGGTCTCTTTCTGACTTCCTGAGAGCGTAAAATCAAGCTGCGATTAAAGTGACGAATATGTACTGTCTAAACTTGTACTTAAAAATTGAACGTCGAATTGATATAATTTTGATGATTTTGATTTTCGATACTATAAGAACAAACAAACAAAAAAAGAATTTTTCTTGTCACGTGTTTCCATCACCGATAAAGATGGAGATTATATTTTTGTGCATTTATGTAATATCGAGATTCGAATTGATAAAAATTATATAATTATTTTATTCCTGCAGAGACTATATTCTCACCTGCGACGGTATAGCGGCTGGCGGTTCTATTCTGATTGCCGGATCCCATTCACCAGGTGGTAACACCGTCACGGCGTCTAGGAACTCGTCAATACCAGCTAAGAGGTGATTTCTATTTTTCGCCTTATAAGCCACGTCGTGAAAAACCTCGTCGGACATCAAGGTTGCCATAGCCCGACCGATCTCGTGAAAACCCGAAATCCCACCCTAGAACGATCCACGTATGCGGAGTATTATAATTTTGTCATATTGATATTTAGAAAGTATATAAATGCTGATATATTTGTATGTGTGTATGTGTGTGTGTGTGTTGTAAATAATTTTAATATCGATATTTTCTTCAGCTACTCTTTTCTTATACCGATATCGTATACCACATTATAACAATTTATTTTAAAATTACAATATTATCACAAAATGATGCTTAAGATTAATAATTGCATAACAATATTATCGCGAACAATTACTTAATACAGAATAACGTAAGATGAGATGATACGCGAAGGCTTTGTAAGAACTTGTGAAAATAATCAGCGACGTGTAACGCACGAAAATAAACTATTATCCCTGTTTATCGATAAATAATTTTTATCACAGAGAGATTATATACAGTCTAAGAACTAATGACGTAAAAAATTCATTTTTGTCCAAGAGGAAAAACGTCATCAAAATTCGATTTGATGCTATCGGGCTTACCCATTAATATAGAATAGCACAGCATAACAAAATAGCTTCTTATATACACATGTATAAAAGTGACATAAATAATTCATATAATTATAAAATTATTATCAGTAGAATAATGTTACTTTAATTAAGATATAGATATGTCTTGTGAATCAGTTAAAAGATATAATAATTGTCTTTAAATAATTTGTACTTAAAGATATTTAAATGTTATTTAAGTATTAATTTTTTATAATATTAATTAATACTTTGTTTACAATATATCCTTATAATTATAACATTCTATATATATATTTTATATTACAAATTACAAAAAAATTGTTAATACATATATTGACATAATTTCTTATTTATTATATGAACAATAAATTAAAGCATTTAAATTTAAAAATCAAAGAATGATGTTATCACATGCCAAGTTTATACAGCATGTTAGCAAACACGCAAATGCGCATTTAAATCGCATTCGTGTGAAGAAGAATTTATTTTATGTATTAACTCTCCTCGAGAAAATAGTCAACAAACACGATCAGAATACATAACTGCTTATTAAAGATTTAATTGCCCCGCTGTGGGAGAGATGGCCTTCTCGAGTCTTTGAATTGACATTTAGGTAGATGTGCGTACGCATGAAAGCAAAGTGAGAACCTCGTACAAGTTCAATGATATTGAGGCGATTTAAAGTAGTTATGCTCTTTTTTTGGATCTCCACACTCATTCGAAATTGAGTGTGAAAGTCGATTGCCTGTGATAAGTTGTCGATATAACTGTAATAGTCGAGTAGAGATATTGACTCGCGCTTATAATCGACGATTTGAAAGGACTTCAAGCAATTCGTTGATGGCTGCTGCCGCACTTGAATGTACAGCAATTTTATTTGATGACACCATAGCCGGAATTCTATTAGCATTATGCAATTTATTCACGTGTTGATGTTCTAATATTTCAAACAGCGTAAAGTTCTGGACCCGCGTGTGCTGTACTTCTTCCGAACTTCTTCTGAGCATAAATCTCCGTAGGAATCGCCCCACTTTCGAATGCATAGCGTTTCGAAGTGAACGAGTTGTTAGATTTTCAAATGAGACAAGAATAACAATAATTTTATTTTCCTTGCTATAGAAAGCTATTTCCTTTACGATCTCCAATTGCAATTCAATTTACGCGTTTCAATTTCGCGGGCTTTAAATAAAAAGAAAGAAAATAAGTTATATTTGAAATAACTCTGCAAAGATATTCTGATTAAAAATGTTAAGAAGAAAAGTTATATACATAAAATAAATAAATATTGACTTTTCGATCTCTGGAAATCTTATGTTTAACATTAGTTCAGCCAGAGTACGAGTCTGTGAATTCACTATAAAAAATATTTCTCGAAGTAATTCCTTATAGATTTATGAGATGAGTATTAACATCAATAATATTACATTAATTGTTAATTTAATTATGTAATATTACACTTTCAGATTTGGCATTAAACTGTGTTTTGTGACCAAACAATAATCGGCATACGTACTTCAAAAAAGATATTAACACGCTATATATAAAATTCATAAAAATTATTAGTATATAAGTGTAAAATTGTGATGCCTAATTTATTTATTTTATATTATACACATCAGCAATTATTTACTTATTTAAAAAGTTTGCATATTTCACTGGAATTATGCAAAACAGTTTTTATTCTCTTCATATATGAGACGTGCTGATTAAAATGAAGTATTATACATATGGTAAGAGCTTCTTTCGTCACAGAATTGTTGCAAATCTAGCTTAATGCGCGAACCTCAAAGAAATGATGAAGCAGGGTCACATAACATATTTTCCGCTTTTCATTTTTCGATTTAAACCAAGTCCTACGTAGTCGCGATTCTTACCCTGGGTCCCAGGAGGACGAAGATGAATCTCGTCGGAACAGGAACTTCTGTCAGGTCCCCCATTATCCCGGCCTGGCTTAACCGGATGAATGCGGACAAAGTCTTGTCGAGAAAGTCGACCTCACCTACAAGTATATTGCTCGCCTCGGCGCCGGCTGGTATCTTCCTCATAAAGTGCGTATTACCCTAATGAGAAAGCGGAGTTGAAGTTTCTCGAGTTAAGCTGCCCGCGATACGGAAGATCAATCTTGAAGCTTGACATTAAAGGTGAGGGATTTGAGTAAAGCCTCTCTACCGAAGAAATTGCTAAGAAAATTAAGCGATTCTCATTTGTCCGATATTGAAAATATCGAGAAAACATCAGAAAGAAATTAGCCGATTATATTAATACAACAATTGCATTACGCTTTTGCGAAGCTAAATTGTACATTTCGCGCGTATCGACGTATATTGCGGCAACGTTTATTTACAACTTTTGATTATACGATATTTAGTTCAGTATTTTACGATAATTCAAAAATATCCGATAAATCTAAGTTGTAAACTAAATACTATAAATTTGCATTATATTACGTGACCACTATGATAACACGCTAAATTAGGATTCAATTTCTCAAAGATTTGAACTGAAATAATGTGTTTACGAACCCTGTGATTAGCGTCTCCGTTCTCCAAAGCGGAGGAGCTGTGATTTCTGCTGATGGACACGCTGCTGGGACTCCGATCCATGCCGTTGCTGCCTGGTTCTTGACCTGAAAGTGATCTGGCTTACTGCCTACTGCATTTTTACACGCGCAGTTTGAGAAACAACCCCTGTCAGGAGCATGCAATGAGGAAAACGATGACTTTCGTCCGCCCGTGCGTCATTAATCCTCCCGAGTTGCGCGCGATTGCGGCAGATTGCAATTTCGTGCGGCTCGAATTTCACGCTCCGCGTCATTCGCACGGATTTACTTCTGCGAATGGATATAGAGAACAATACGTTCCGCTTTAAGGCGCTCCGTCGCCGTATCGAAATGGGCGGACGCCCTTATCTCAAATCTCGCAACAAAATCATTTATCACACCTCCGCAGAAACTTTTCTACTACAAATTTTCTCGTGGTCAATTCGAATAATAAACACACAAAACAACAAGAAGTCGGGCAGAGTGCGCGAGGAAAATTTTCAAACAATTGTTGATTTATATTCACAAGCGCGAAACTTGCTTAGGAACAAAGACAAACTTTTATTTCGATGAAATTAACGTTGGCTTTAAAGAACATGCCATAAAACAGAGCTTTATCCAAAGATGCGAAAATAATAAAATTGTAAAGGGGTAAAAGTGTCTTGTTCCGCGATAGCTGAAGATTTGTCCTTAAAAAAAATCGCGAATTATAAACAGTATTTTGTGCGATAAATAAAATAAATGTATATGTTTATCAAATATGTTTTCAACAACGCGTAAATATCAGTGATTTTCGAGCCGTAAAATGTGAATGTTATTAATTTTCTGTACATACATAATTGCAAATAATTAATAATTCGATATTCAGAGTTTAATCTTATTTGCAGCATGATGTTATTGCAACTTCATATTATTTCTGATTTTTGTAAATTAAATATACTACCTTACAAATTATCTCAAATTGCCGAAATTTTCGTTAAAAATAGAATTAAATTGTTTATGCATAACGACAGAGTTATTTAATTATCTGAAATCGAACGTAATCAAAAAGAGAAGTATTATCGATTATGAAATGCAGATGAATTTTAAGATCGAATCGATATTAGCTGCGCGAGAATCAAAAGTCGCATTAATTTATTTATAACTCTGACTCTGTTTTTTTTCTTATATTAGTATTACACATAATCGATATCGATTGATTTATTCGATTAAATAAATTAAGTAAATTTCGTTTGATCGAGACCCGCTATGCTTACGGATTAAAGTAGCACTTGACCTTTGAATCAAATGTCAAGGACGATCTCTAACAACCCTTTGCAAGGATAACCTTATCGTAAATTTCTCTAATAGTCTTATCGTAAAGGCCCGAGATAATACTAATTCTACTTTGCAATTTGATATTCCTCTCATATAGTCCTTCGCAAACACATCGCTTGGAAATACAATATCTATATGTGTGTGTTCAGACATTTCTCGACATTTATAATAAATAATTAATACGTCTGTTATTTGCTCCTGCAATTATTTGAGTTTAATCTTAAATAATTAAATTATTTTTATAATAAATGTACAATAATTAACTAATTAATTTAATTTTGTACGAAATAATTTTGTACAAAGGCCAAAATAATTGCTAGAATATCAAAACGTTTTATAGCAATGCTTATCAGTTTTAACATTCCAACAAATTATTTTGATGATTCAATAAAAAATTATTTTCAGATCTGTTTTTAGCAAAATTTTTAGACTTTTCAACAAAATCGTTCTTTCCGTGTAATCTTGTTTCGACGATTAATTTCACGAATCGACAAGAGGTATAATGACGTCTGGCGCTGTTTGCAAATCGACCACCGTTATCCGCAGTATGGTATAAAGATTCCCCCCGGCAATTTCTCGCAAACGAAATGAAATTTGTTAGGTCTTTCAACGTTTCAATAACAAACCGTTTTGATCTCACAATGGTTTCTCATTTGTCGAGCACGTTAACGGCGTGGGTAATTGCTACTGCAGATTAATCTACGTGTATACGTATGGAACTTCACTACGGATTAATGCGGCTCGCGCGTGTGTAAAGGTGTGTATATGAGTAGAAAAGCAAGCACAGAAAAGCGGTTTACCGGGATTGCCGGGTATCGCAAGGAAGCGGCTACCAGCATTCAGCGCTGCTCCACTGCCCTGACTTGTTGCGCCGGCGATCGCCGGAGCGGAATTCGATTCCTCCACTAAAAATGAGCATGAAACACAACACGAGGATCGTTTTTTTTTATTTACAGAGGAAGGTGCGAGAAGGGAACAAAAGGACAATTCATCACCGTGGTAACTCGCTTTGAGTTCGATCTCAGAGTCACTTAAAAATGTATAACAAGCCGATTTGTGCACACATATTGCCTATTTTAGATCGTATTTCTCATCGCGAAAATATAGCCTTCGGCGGGATAGAATAGATCATCGGGTCGAAATTAAAAAACAGTCGCCTCGTTAGTACACACCGGCGTTTTAATCTCAATCTAAAAATTTAATCTGAGAAGAAATTGTTGCGTGCGAACAAACAGTCCGCTTCCGGAGTACTCCCTGTACACGTGCAGATTGCAATATTAACGCGGGGGAGAAAAAGTATACACATGCAATTGTTTCTATTTTTATACAAAAGGCGCACGTAAAACACTAGGGACGAACGTGGCGATAAATACGACGTCACGAAATTTCCTTGCGCAACTTTACTGCACGTTTTGCCGCATTGTTGATGCCTTAATGTCGACTCATTTCCATGTGTTTGTTAGCAAGTTTCGCGACAGTCGTCAGGCCGAAATCTCGACACTTACAAGAGATGTATATAAACAACGAAACGCCTCGTTAAAGAAATTTATAAAGACGTAATTTTTTTTATTAATTGTGAACGCGTTCAACGTTAAATTATATTACACTTTAGTAATAATTTACAGTAATTTACTTTTTTTTTGCAATAATTCAGTATTCATTTTCTTGCGTTCTATAAAACATACGCGCGTCTCAAAATATATAGTATTGAAAAAATCAATGTTTATTTTTGCAAGTTACGAGGAGAATGAATTACGTTAGTTAGGATACTGAAAAGAGATTAATCGATTATAACACTGAGAACAATAAATGCACAGTAGTAGTAATGAATGTAGACAGGGTTTACATCGAGTTACGTGCACCAAGATCACATAGAAAGATCCATGCCTCATGATCGTAATTAATAAACGTTAGCCTACGCTGTTAACGAAGGAACGTGCATATTGATCAATGGATAATGAGACCGCGAGCGATGAATTGCAGTAACGTCACGTACGATAGGAAGTAAACCCGTGTCATTTGCGAACGCATTAAAATTCTCCGTGTTCTCATCGTACACTTAATGCCACTGTCTGATCTTATTTGCCTGGACTGAAGGGGCGATAATCAATGTCAATAGAAGATGGCAATTAGACAGCCGCATTTGATGCCAGTGAGAATACGGATCATGGCTGGGCAACCACAATCCACTTCTCGGGTTGCCGTACCGCATAATCAATTTCAACGAGAACAATCAAGATGTGTCTATATAGTGTTCGAGTGAAGTAGACTCGAGCACAGTAGTCGCGGCTAGAATAGGTCAGACGCGTTATCTACAGTGTCGTTGACATTTACACTCTCGTCGATAAGGACACGTATTTATAGAAGGTAGTATTTTCTCGTGAATTGATCTCTGTTTAAATAAATGCCAAAAAGAAAACTCGCGAACTGTCTTGTGAAATTTTCAATTTTTATGCGACATAAATTTTATCAGATGGTGTCGCGGGATTCTCGTTTCGCGCAGAGAAATGTTAGATGATGCTGCAGTGTCCTTACAACTGAAACTCTTGTGTGCATTACAATTAAACAATTACAGTTCCATCCAGACAGCTGAAATAGTAGGAGGCAGGATCGACGAGAGACCGGAATGACTTTTCGCCGCGCGTCGATCACGAGCTTTATTTACGTGATATAAGGCACGAAAGAGACGACAGAGAGTAGACTTTAGTATAAACGGAAGATATAAGTGAGAAGTAGAATTTTGTGCAGATTCGTATAGAATCGAGAGTAAACCATCTGGCGAGCTAACCTTTTAGCGGACACATCGCGAACCACGTCGTGAATCCCACCACGTGGGGTATGCCAAATTCGTCTGACAAAAGAAAAGAAACGATGGGTAAGTTACAAATTTTCGACCGGCTTGAGCTCCGGAGTACCGAAGAGGAGTGACTCGATGAGGGCGATGAGCAGTCTTGATGACGCCAAGTATTTTCACATTGACAATCAATTAGCAAGACAATCACCAAGAAACATCAGGCAGTTGGGGAATGACCATGATGGCTTGTAAATCCAACGGATCGCGGACGGATCCAGCGACAATCGAGATTGTCTTGATCCTCGCTTGATCGGCGCGCACTATGACACACAATCCAATGATACCAAGTTATAGCTAAACGTATCGCTTGCCTCCCAAATTCATCATCAGAAATTCTAAATCATCTAAAAATGTTATTCAGAATACCGAATTAAATTAAAATTTTGTCCTCAGTGCACTTAACTGAAATGAACTTCCTAAGAATTAGAATTATACTTGACTACATCCTTATTGAGATATCAAGCCTTAAGCCGCAAGCCTATTCGGTTTATCAAATCGCCAATCTCTCAGGAACGAAGATGCAGACTCAAACTCGCCAATGCTTTTCAATTTTGCCGGCAGTAAAAAAGAGAATATCCTAGAATTTGCGAAGCGATCGATACACGCATGTTGTAATTGTTAGTGGGTTGTTCCGTTGGGGTGTGGTTAGAAAAGCGACGAAAGCACCAATCCAAGGCTGCTTAGCGGATGGAACTGGCCTAAGTTGTACCTGGAACCAGAAGGTACGGCCCTTTGAGGTCTTTCGCCTCTTTCGACAACGGTGCCGTGTTCGAGTTCGGGCAGCTGCTGCTGCGGGAGACGGATGTCGGTACGTATGTGTCCTTCGGCTCACGACGCTCCTGCAAATCTGACGTCAACAAGGCATGCATACCACATGAACAGTCGCAATCTGAAAATGTCGATTGTGTCGTACGTGTTTTAACAAAGTTTAGCACACCCTAGGACCCTTGGACCCGACGCTTTCGTCTCGCCACCGTCGTTGGGGTGGTCTTCAACGAAAATGCAGGTAAAAATAAAAACAAAATTGGATTAGAAATTAAGAGAAATTAAATTATAGTAAACTCTTAATGACCCGAGATATCAAAGAGTAATAATAATATGAAAAAAAGGAGTAATCTGCAAAAGAAAATCTAAAAAAATTAATTCCAATTCGACCTTGAATTAAAAAATTTATTATTATTATTTATTTATTAAACATTATTTCAGGTCATTACGAGCACAAAAAATAATAAACTAAATATGTATAATAATTTAAATAATAAAAATTATGACAGGATAGAAGGATATTATCTTGTCTAAGAACTAATAATTATTTATTATAATATTTATTATATATAATAAATTTATTAAATAAGGAACAAAGTGTTTAAGTAAATTTAAAAGGATCAACAAATTAAATATAAGTATAAAATAAAAAGGAATGGGGGGGGGGGGAAACGCGCACACCTTGAAAACGATCACGTTAGAGAGGCAAATGGGGTGGTGCTAATCACGCTGAAACAATCCGTGTTTCTGAGCGTCCACGTGCCTGATTTAATATCATTTATAGAAATATTATGTACAGTATTTGTATATTATGTACAGTATTTGAACCATGTCGGCGACCTGTCAGAAAAGTATAATTTACCGATACTTATTGTTAGACATGAGTGAAAGTAACATGAAACTTACTCTTCGAGGAGGAATGGTTGCGTCCTATCTCAGCTAACGATCTTATGATCGGTAACTTCGACATGTTATTGTCTTTACGTCTTTCGTGTTGATGCCGATGTCGGACGAGAAGGGCTTCTCTCACCTGAAATGATATTAATACTCTGCTTGATCGATTGGCTGGAGGTGCACGTGCGGCTGACGTGCCGAAGTATTGATTCACAAATCAAAAATATCAGCGGAATAAGTATAGAAGTATGAATCGTAAATCTTTCAGTTCTTTTAAATTAAGAACGAGTTTCGATCAGAGATGACATTGCTATCTGTGTAATCAATTTAGCTCCCGTGTCAAGATATATGAATGGACTTTATACAGGGTGTTAAAAAAAACCATTCGGCATTTACATAATAGATAGTACACGCTGAATAAAAAAAATCTTAGTGAACATAGGTCAACCGAAAGCTCAACCGTTTCTGAGATATAAACATTTTTGTATGTTAGCATTTTGTACGTTTATTAGGCGTAAAAATGTCGCGCAACAGAAGCATTTTCATTATCGCGACCATACAAAAAATGCATACCTGTCATTTTTTTAGAGTAATACGCCAACATTTTTAACACGATACTTTATAAATGTGTAATCATCAAATAATATGTAAATAATATGTAATAATATGTAATTACGCATTTATAAAATATCGTGCTAAAAATGTTGGCGTATTACTCTTAAGAAATGGCAAATATACATTTTTTGCATGGTCGTGTTAATGAAAATGCTTCTGTTGCGCGACGTTTTTACGCCTAACGTACAAAATGCTAACAAGATACAAAAATGTTTATATCTCAGAAACGGTTGAACTTTCGATCTATAGTTCACTGAGGTTTTTTTACTCAGTATATATGGTGTGTAGTATCTACCATATAAATGTTGAATGGTCTTTTTTAACACCCTGTATATATAAAATATACGTTATATCAATGACAAAATGTGTGGGAATTGTAAATGTATTTGTGGCGCATCTAAAGATATCGCGATAAAACTTTTCCACTTTAATAGGACACAGGTATTTAAATGACGTTTTTTTCCACTTTGATATATTCTTACCTTCTCCCGCAGGTCGACCGATAATACTCCTTTATTGATCATATTATCGAGAACAAGATCAGCTATCTGCTCTAAGCTGCCCGCCTCCATATCCAGCATGACGGTCCCGTTTAAAAGCAGGCTCCTTAATTCGAAGAGTGAGTGCAGTGATAAAGTGGCAACATGGGGTTTGCTCCACCTATTGCCGCCTTCCTCCACGTCTTCCTCGAACTTGATCCATCTGCGTATATTATATTTACCGTGTAATACATATTTGTACATGCGATGCCTCTTTATAAAGACGCACTTCCTATTTTATTTTAAACATTAAAGGTTGAGCCCTTTTGATCTTTTTTTAAGCTTGAAGTATGTATAAATTCAAAGCACTTTAACAAAGGATTGCATATAAATTAGAATTATTATTACAACATTTTATGTATACAAATTTTTACTCTTGTGTATCTCTGATATTTCTGTTTAATTATTTATTGTGACATACTCAGAAGATTAAAATTATTTTGTATTGTAATATATATTTTGTATACAATCACCGTGCTGCACATGCAGTCGAGAGAACTGAATATTACTTTGATTATGAAAATATATATTATTGTGAAACAATGAGGGTTTTAATGCGTAACATCGATGTGCAAATCTACCGTTTCCGACGTTGCAAAGGGTCAAAATCGATGAGATGGAGTTGTAATTTCGGCCTTTACCTCGCTGTTTCCTTCCATTCCATTTCATCGCCATCCTTGACGAGCTCCTCCATCTCCGAGAAGAGCGGATGCGATTCGTGCGCATCGTCGCCGACTTCCTCGCCAAGGATAAACTGTACTCTCTGGGCTGGCGGAGTGACTAAACAATTATGCAACAGAGCGTGAATCGGCGATCTCAAAGTTGCGAGTTTGGTGAACAAAAATATGCGATAGTATGTACAATAAATTCATACAGAGAGAGAACATACATTTATCAGAATGTATAAACGCCAAGTAATAAACGAGATAAAACAGATGAGAAATTTGTTTCGAATGAAATATCGTTTGCGAAATGTTCAGCTAAATGCGATCGAAAGACTGATGAATGCAAAATACATACAGTATTAAATATTGTAACGGCAGACATTCTGGCGTAAATTTTTCATTATGTACACTTCATCAAATAAAGATTAAGAGTGACAACTTTAACGATCAGAACTTGCACGTTAGTTAATCAGAGATAAAACAGCGAGTCGTTAAGACATATCGGCTATTCTTGTTTACGTGCAGAACGGCAAGCAAAGTAGACTATCGATCTCCATAACATGCCATGTTGCATTTTATTCTCTGCGCATCTCAGCGAATGAATGTAATGTCCAGAAAGAAATATTGTACAGCTTATATGCATATACACTGTCAAAACTATATTTCTTTCTTTATGTAAAAATGTCAACAGAGACAAGATAAATTCTTATACGTCGAAAAGAATTATGAGAACAGAACGATCAGATGAGGAAATAAGGTTTGGCGAGGACTGAGGGATGTCAGCACAAAAGTATCCGACGTTACTTAATGTCAACGAAATTTACGTAAAAAAAAAAGGAACATTTCACTTCCGAAACATCTCTTGAGCACGGTAACGTCAATTTCAAAGCGAAGTGAAAGGAAGATTGACGTTGATCGATCGACCGACAAATAGCATAATATATATATATATATACGTATATATACGAATGTGTATGAACATATGTATACGCCATGATAGATGACGCATGCACATTAGAAAGATTCTTTTCCAGAGACACATAGAAAGCAGAATAAAAAGATAGAAACCTTCTGATTAAAAAACGATTGTGTAACCTGTTGTGTAATGTAATGTCACATAGCTAGAGTTGGGTAAAATACTATTTTATAAAATAAAATGGCAGGGGAGAAAGGCTATCCGATAGCTCCGACCACACTTTTATAACTATCGCCGTTGTAAAGAAAAACTTTAAGGTCAATCAATTATTATGCTGACCTATGAGGTCACAAGATTGTTTGAGACGTAATCTATGTATAGATATTTTTCATGACGTGTTACACTTTTTAAACGTTACAATCTCGTTTGCTTCAATAATATTTGCAAATTACTTATTTCGTACTTCAAAACGCTCCGAATACGAGAGAAATGCAGGTGTATTCAATAACGTAACAATGGAATTACAAATCCCTCGAGGCAACACTATTTCATTTCACGTATCCAATAACGTCGCAAAGTTTAAAAAATGCCCGATTGTCATGGGCGATGTATTTACTTGTTTGTCACCGCGCGCGATAATATTTTCCGTCGACCCGTCGCGTTTATATCCCGGCTGAACGTGAAAATAGCGCTCTTACCCTCCTCTGGAATCATGTATTATGTGTTGTGTGTCGTGCGTCGTCAAAATTTCGGTACCGTTCGTACATCCCACATGGCCCGTAAATATTCATCGCAATCGGGCGTATTGCGTAATTGGGGCGTTATGCACCTTGATGTATTTAATTCGCATATATCGGACACGTGCGGAGTTAGCAAACCCGCACGCGTTACGAACGCATGGCGAGGCACTTAGGTACAAATGCGTTCGGCACATCAAATACAATCGGGTTTACGTAACGATATAATCAACGAATCAAGGCGACGTCTGCGCGATATACACAAGCTACTTGTGTGCCCGATAAACGTCGATACACGTGACGCGATTATCGCAGACATACTTGATGTTACGTCAAAATATATGATGTCACGTTAGGTTTGAAATCTAATCGAGATTACTATTTTTTTCGTGATCTCGGCTGAAGCGTCATCCGCAACCAAATGCCCCGTTGGTTGTCCACGTGTGCGCAAGCGGTGGCGTACTTAACAGCGAACACGTAAGATTATTCGACGAGGAGAAACTTGAAGACTAATTCATATATTGCAGTTGCGGGATGCACGAACGATCTCGCGTTAAATATTTGCATCACATAAAGGAGTCTCGTAATGCATAAGGGTGGCTTACATATCATCTCGCCGGCGGGGTCGCAGATGCTAGCGAGACGACCCCTGCGCGCCATCAACAATTGTCCTGCAATGTCAACGGTGTTGCCGTGTCATTCGGACCAAAGGAATATTGATTTTTTTCAAGAAAGTTTCGTATCATTTCTTTTCAGATTACCGACATGCAAGATGAGCAGATTTAAAAATGTTTCCAATTTAATTATGAAAAACAAAAATCTCGTTTCGTCTTGTTTATAAAGAAAATTATAATAATTCTGTCTGTAATTATTACTTCACGTAATCGAAACGTCGTGTTGCTGTTGATCTATCATCTGTGTGTTCTCAATTAGAGAGAGAATCACGAGTGTAAGCACTGAGAATTGCGGTATTGATTCAGCTGTTCGTGATGAATAATATCTTAATCACTTGTCTTGACATATACACGATGTTTACTAAAGTCAAGATCGGATATTTAGGCTGAAAGGTGTTGATGACATATTGATTAACTCCCTACCTTAAAGATTTCTTATCACTGGTACAAGTAAGAAATATATACTCATATAAATAGGAATTCAATTTATTTAACAACTAGTTTACGTCAGAGTTTTTTTAACACTCCACTAAACGTCTATGTTTAATAAAAGTTCTCTCAAAGTTCTGGCATTTTCGGCACAAACAAGAAGAAATATGCATGTCAGACTTTTAAAAGCTTTGCTTTTCATGACTTAAATTTCATTACAGAAATTTAATATAGGTATACGTATATATAAAATATACGTATATAAAATATTTATTTAATATAAAATGTATATAAAACCTAATATTTTATATGTAATATTATTTTAATAATAGATAAAGGATAATTTTTTTTACTTATTTACAGTAATAACGGATAGAAATTTTTATTTGACAACTTTATCTTTATCTATTGTTAAATTTATGATATTTATTATACATGATCTGACTTTCGTATTTAATTTTTTCACAAATTTTTATATAATGATCCATAAATGAATTAACTGATTGATTATATTCTATGCAGAATTTAAATCGTTTATTATATATATTAGCATAAATCGACTACTAAAATACAAACTTTTAAAGGCCCTAAAAATTTTTAAAAGGTTTAATTAAATTTTAAAAACCGTTGCTATACCAGCTAAGAAATAAATAAGTTAGTAACTAATATAACATGACTTTATAAAGTTATAAAGATCCTTTGACGTTATAAACTTTTAAAGTATACTGTCTGAGAGTAACCGAGCTTTACTTGCAATTCAATATTAATTGATTCACCTTACAGCGGTAAAAATTAATGTACGAAGTAAGAAATAGAAAGAATACATTTCAACACTTTCAAGAAAACATTTAAATTTAATATGAAAACTTTAATAAATAGGTAATATCTGCATATTATTTTGGATTTATTTAATCTCAACTGCACTAATTAATTTTAATTATAATTTTTCTACATTTTTCGACAAAAATAAATTCAATTCTCTTTGATAAAATATTTTCAAAAATGTGCTTTTTTTGTTGGTTTCTGAAGTTTGACCATACGAAACGATATCATTATTAGCACCGCAATAAACAACAATAAATTCTAAGGATTGCGCATTCAGTATTATTAAGTGCCGTATTATTTACTGGCTTTGAATGCTCAATCTTTAGAATTTATTATTAGCTGTCGCAGATATAAAGACATTGTAAATAAATAATAAAATGGTATTGCGGTCAAGTAGTAAACGCTTCGCTGCAACAGAAATTAAATCAGTAGCGCTATAGTTAGCTAGTAAGAAATTGCAACGAGTTTCCGATCTCAGTGCTTTCGCGAGAGTCCTCAAGAAATCTATTTCCCGAAGGTTGTAGATGTTAATGTATATTTTTAACGTCACGAGTTTCTTTAGTTTCATCGACTCTCGTCGAGCAAAACGACATGGAATATATATGTATCACATACACAAATAGATACATCTTTGTAATAATAAATCTTTATAAAATAGACACAATATAACAATAAATATGTCTCTTACGTCCAATCTCATTTCTTTTGCATGTCTTTTTTAATTCAAAGATTGGTATTTTCCTGACGAAAATTAAAGCGTAAGTCATAAGGAGAGAATACAGAAGTGTAATTGAAGTTTCTAGGAAGCGAAAACTGAGACAAGCGTCTCTTTTATGTTTTGTTGTCTCAATTTTCGCCTGCCAGAAGTTTTGTTTGCGCTTTTGTACTCTTCCCTTACGTTCGATTTATGCTCCAATTTTTATTTTCGTCAAGGTCACGAAGAATACGAATTAATATAAAATACAATATAAAAACATTAATATAAAATGTAATCTAAATATATTAATATAAAATATAATATAAATATATTAATATAAAATGTAATATGTTAATATAAAATACAATATAAATATATTTTTTATATAATTATTTTAATTAATTTACAAACATATTCTATCAATTTGTAAATAATCAATAAAATATTTATCTACAAAAAGTATATGTAAAAATTAAGTAAAACGTTTTCGCTTCATTTAATACAAACATTCAGTAACTTGGCTTATCGCGCCTTGGAAACCTGACGATCGACATTTCCCAAGAGTTCTTTCATCTTTATCATGTTATATTCATTACAAACGAATAACTTGATCGATTACTTCGTCTTCCAATATTTCGATAAAATGTATATACTTCATGGCAATTCGTCCCGATCTTACCAGCATACTTCACATGAAAGTTTCCAACCGTTGAAGATTTAATCTGCCTTTAAATTACACAAGAACTTTTGATGTATCAAATTATAGAACAAATAAAATTGTTTGTATTAATACAAATACATTTTACTTGAAAATGTATTAATTTGTTTAGTTAATAAAATATTTAATAATAAAAAGTCCAATTTTACGAAGTAAAGATAATCCTCGATTAAATTTTTGTCACTAAAAAATCAACTCGACAATAATTCTTGCAAAATATGTGACTAATTTCATGAAAATGAATGAAATTATTTTCTTACATTTATTGTCGTTATTTTTCACATAAAATATTAGTTCTTTTCCGTGAGACTCTTTTTTTCTATTCTTCGCTTTGTTAGAATTAAAATCCGTTCCTATACCCTTATATCAAAGGGCTGCTACAGCATTTCGGTATCGACTGTCTCTTTGTACTCGGTGTATCAGAAGTAGGGTGAATACCCGGATAAGTCTCGACAAGTGGTTGGCGCCCTGCCATGTTCGGCGCGGTAGCGCCGCAAAAGCGCAACGCGTCACACGTGAGGCATTCCAGTTTTCCGAACTATTTTTAGTGTGAAAAAGTAGTTGCAGATTTTTAAAACAGCCAGTGTAATAATTCTGTGTAATAAATGCAATTTTTTTGGAAATGCGGTTAAATTTGAGTGGGCGAAATATGTAATAGCATTGTCGACGAAATGCGAAGTTCGCGCCGCTATGAAAAGCAAGGCGGCGACCATCGTTTCAATTTTAGACTGGCGCAGTCTTCTTTTTATTGTTATATTTACCGACTGTCTATTCTAAACAACAAAAGCAGAAAATGTAGGTAAATGAGTGTATCTTCACATAACTATAGAAACTCGATTCGTATAAGTTAGACGTTTTGTATTTGCGTTATATTTAATTCGAAATGGATGCTTTGTTAGAAGCTACTGAATTTAATATTCAATAAATGAAAGATTTATGAGAGGTTAAAAAAAAATTGCTTCTGCATTTAATTAGAATTATATAGTATTTAGCATACAAAAACAATTTACATCTTATATTATAAAAATTGATTATTATTAAAATTATAATATATAATTTTATGTACTTTTGTTTTATTTATGTAAATTTCTCTTGGCGATAGGATATGTAAATAAAAAATTATGAAATATATAGTACCTAAAAAGCATGAACAAAACATCAACATTTTACGTGTATTAGAAATACGAGTCATTTTTGGAGCACAAAGAACGTAGCATGCGTCGATGCCAAGTTTTGTAAATAGTATAAATATTAGGGGATGAGTACGATGTTATTAGACTTGATGATTTTATTGTTGCAGATGTATTAAATTATCTAAGCTGAAGGGGCATTTAATGATCTCTAGCTGCAGTAAGCTTTTTCATACATTATTATTATTATTATTGGTCAATTAGAAAAAAAGATTACGGTTATTTTTAATAAAAAAAAAGAACATTATCAATTAATATGAGAAATTATTTTGGTGGGGAGATGAGTTGTGTAAATCCATACAGATTTGTCGACTTATCAATTTATGATGTAATGTTGCCATGTTATCAATCCGATATTCATACAATTCTAAGTACCTATGATAATGTAATTAAAATCACAGATATTCCGAGTAACAACAATTTTATCTAATCTTTTAAGTTTTTTTGCGTAATCAAGCAAAATTGCTTGCTTTAGCAATATAAAATATTTCCGTTGAAGATATTTCCGTTGAATATCTTCTTAGTTTCGACATGATCCAAGATTACTGATATATTGAAGATTTTAAATTTTATTATTGAAAAAGCAATAGAAAAATGAATTTCTTACGATATGTGATATGTTACATTATGGTAATTAATATACATGGTGCGACAATTAAGTTCGGATTAAGGCCATAAGAAAATAAAGAAAATCGAAAATATTTTGTTGAATCATTGCCTTTAAGTTTTTGGTCAAAACGAGAGATCCCCGTCCTACTCGCCTGATTTAGCACCGGTTGACTTTTTATTATTTTCCACGTTAAAAATTACAATGAAACATTCGAGATTTGAGGATTTGTCGATCCAACGGACTGTTATGACAGAACTGAAGGTGATTCGGAAAGAAGCTTTCTCTCGGGCATTCGTTTCGTTATATGAGTAATATATGTTGTTCGGAAGTCGACGGGAACTTTTGTATATTGAATGATGGTACTAATAAATATTTTCAGTTTGTTCAGAAGCCGGCGGGAACTTTTGTATATTGAATGATGGTATTAATAAATATTTTCAATCTTCTTTTGTGTGTATTCTTTTAGCCGCGGCTTCAGTTCGCGCGAACTTAATTGTTACACCATATATATGTCTACAAGTACTTATACATGATTTAATGCTTTCGCATTCTCATGCGAATTCGCAAGTACTTATCCGAAAAGCCAATATCGCGAACGTTAATTTACGCTTCGTGTGCCGCCCACGTCTAAATCCTCCTTTCTGCTGCAACGTTCTATTAAGCCGCAGAATTTGAAACATCCGTTTATTGGCAGGGATGTAGGACACGATAGCAATCAAACGGTATATCGACAATAGTTATTTATTTGGATGCTACATTCATACAAAGCAATGTATGAACGTAGCCTATGAATAAATTAGATATAATTTAATGATTTAGAGACACGTGCCGCGCGGTAGGTGCGAGAGATACAGAACTCATTATCGTTGAATTATTAGAGGTGCATCCTACCGATGAATTAATTCTCAGGCGTTAACGGATTACTGAGTTGACATTAGTAATTGGCAAAAGGGATGCATGTTTAAAAAATCTGTTAGAATTACTACGTCCGCACAAGTGTCACTTCGTGCGTTCGTCATTACACTCTGGCACCTCTGAACAAGGCCGAATTATTGCACAACGTGGCATCATTATTGACAAGAGCCACACAACTTTGCGAAGTTGAAACTTGATGGAAGAAAAAAGAAGTGAGGATCAACTTACTCGGTCTATCGTTGTCGGCGTCCTCCTTACCACAGGGGTACGGCTGCCGTTGTGAATGATGGTGCTTATGGTGTCGGCGGTGCCTCCTTTCCCCTGGCAAATGCACGCCCACGTATACCGTGTGCGCCCTGTGACCTGGAAGCAGATGAAAGGGATTGCCCCGTCACACACAGTGCCTCTCACAACTCACCATGGGGAAGAGATGCGCGGATTTAGAGCAATTCTCCCTGATGAAAGTGCACGCGACACAACACAACTTTTCTTTCGCCACACGAAAGAAAATTAGGTCGGCGTCATTTGATCGTGTAATCCTGTCTACCGAGAAGAGTGTACGCGAGACAAGTAGATCCTGCAGGAATGAAAGGTTCCTCGTGTATATCTTTCCAGATTAATTTACGCGTTGGCTGTACCTAATTCGAATGGGAGGCCACGTGCCAAGACGAGTTCACACAGACGAAAAGGTCAACAGATTCGTCCCGATTTTGTAACAATAGGCTCGAATAGTTGAACTTCATGGATGACATATACATTAATGACATATCATCCATGTTTCTGATATTAATAACGGTATTAATAATTCAACCTTTCAGCATGACATATAATTTATAAAGATAATCATTATATGCTACCTTAATATACGAGAATGTTACAGAATGACGAGAAGATTACATAAATATATATGATAACTAAACAGATAAAGACAAATCCATGTTATGCCATCAAAGATCACCGAAAACACATGATTTATATTTATAGATAAATATTCATATAAATTGGATATCGAATATTATGCGTTGATTCAAAATATATTCATATATGTATTGAACATATCCCAATAAGATATTTTTTAGTAATGTAAATTTTCATATTTATATAAAAATCAAGATGCCGCGAGCCGTGAATGCAACTAATTATTCAATTAAAAATTTTATTTTTTTAAAGACAACTCAACGTTTTTCTTTTTTAAGAAAGCTTCATATCATGTCAATCGTAGGAGGTGAATATCTGCCAGACTGGGTGAACAATTTATTTCGCTGGGAAATCCGGCGTTTACAAGATCCGACAATACAAGACCGTCACAACATGTACGGCCTCTATTCGCAGGTTTCGTCATCGATACGAGGTGACCTCGTCGCAAGTCCATACCCATCCACGGTCGGTGTTGTTTGACGAAGTAACGATTTTCGAAGCACCTACACGCGCGAGGTCCGTCCGTCCGTCGTGTGAGCAAACAGTGAAGCCAGATTCGTATCAGACTGACCTATAGCAGATGCAGGCACGTTATTGCCTGCAGACAATGCCTGATATTTCAACAGAAGCTCATCTCGTGTCCATTTGCTTATAAAATATCCGCGATCGTGGAAACTTTATGTGAGTTGATGCCAAGAACGAAAGGCTTATTATCTTCACATTGATATTCTCTTCGCGTTATTCTAAGCCAGTTAAATTCATATCATCTTAGTAATTGCATAAAGATATCATGAGATACTTTTAGTGAAAAATCTACAATTAATGCTTCTTATCGAAATATTCAAAACAATGGAAGAGAAATTTATCAAATTTCTCACACGTACTTACGATAATAGCCGCCGAAAATAGAGCAAGGATTCGATAAGTCAAATATAACCATTCAATATCAGAATGAATCAACCGTTCTTATATTGTACTAAATAACTTCGACTTATCACCTTTAACGACAAAACTATTTTCGCAGGATCGAGGAATATTTCCAACAAACTTTATAAATTGAAATCTACCCAATATAAGAAATAATTCTGTCTATTTCGAATACAGCATTTAATTACTTTTTGCTAAATTTATTTAAATTATTTTATACCTAAATATTTGATATTTAAATATAATTTAAGAATTCTTTAATATAAATATTATAATCATACATTATTAAGAAGGATAGATCATATATCAAGTATTTTAATCAATAAAATTCAGATTCAAATTTATCCTAATATGATAAAATTATATTTTTTTAAAGACTTATGACCAAAGATATTTATAAAATGATTAAAAGTTATATCTATAAAATGCCTCATTTAATTAATTTAGATTAAGTCGAATTATTGCAGAACAAATTTCTATTTGCTTACAGCTTTCTAATGTAGATAAAAAAAAGTTTAACGATTACATTTAGTGTATCATTAACTCTCCCGTTATAGTCTTAAAAAAATTTAGAAATCTATACATTTCTTACCTTCATAATCTTTTTCCGTGTAAGACTGATGAGTAATCCGCGCGCCCGGGTCTTTCGGGGCCTCATCGTCACCTGTCCCGCCCGGATGGGCCCCGCCACTGCCGGCTCTCGGCTGCATCCACGGCCTGTGGAAATAAAATTAAATGATCGATTTAATTATCGCGATACCAATGGCGACGGCGACTCTTCTGTATGCATCCGCTACACGCGGACGCAAGTTTCTATTATTAGAGCATTAACAAGTTTCCAACCGGCAGAAATATCATCGGGTTCGTTTGTCCGTGACTTTGCTCCCTTTCCGAGAACGTGCTTCTGACGGTAAATTTTCCTCTGTCACACCCAACATCGGTATTTTATATTAATGAAAGTTGATTTGAATTTTGTTATTAACTCGTAGTTTGTTCGATTAATGCACGTTGAAAGATGCCGATTCATTTTGGCGACGCGACCGACGATGCCAAATGTGTGCACACGAGCGTACGTCGAAATATTTCGTAGGCGTCTGTCCACGACCGTTCGCAACTACTGACACCAGTTAATAATAATTAAGCTTCCACCGTTCGGAGTCACTTTGCACGCAACTGCTTCCTCCTCATCTTTCTCCTTCCGCTTCCATGCTATTAAGTTTCATATTACTCATTACAGAGTCCTTCTTATATTTAATTGTTTATAATGCAATTTATTTCTGCGTCACGTTTAATACGTGAATATTTGTTTTATCACTATTAAGAGAAATGAAAATAAAATATAATAGTAAATGTAATAGTATATTAAAATATGTAATCTTTTTGATTTAAGTTTTAAGTTAAGTTTCTTTTTCTCTTAATAAAAATTGTATCTTGTCTTGATAATTAAATTTCAACTTATATAAGTTTTAAATTACATTGCCATCTAATTTTGTTTGATATATGTAATATAACGTTCTGACACTAATAAATATGTATCACATTTTCATCTCGTATTCGTGGCATTGTATCTGTCCCCGTTTGCAAATTGTCACGAGCTAGCTTTTATACTAGTATTTTACTGTCCTTGCGAGAGATATATAAATTTCGACTCGTTCTCGTTGAGCTTTCGCTGGGTAACGAAGATGAATTTAGCACATTTTGTGGTAAGTTAGCTCGACAACGATTTTATTCGTATCAATGATTTCACAATTGTTCTTTTAAAAGAAAAGACGAGGTCTCTAAATAAAATAAAAGAAATTATATTTTTTACAAATTCGATGAAATTGTTATGAAAAACCTTAATATTTCTTTCATGTCTTATTTATACATGCAGTAACAATGAATATTATCTGCGTTGTAAAACATAATAAGTTAAAGGCAATTTCAATGCTAATTAACGGCAAATGTTTATTAAATATAATGAATAGAGATATAAAAACATTTTGCTCATGACTTAAATTTATGTTCAAAATATGCAATTATACGTACATATAACAACGTTCATTTCTTATGTATATATATTTGTAAAAATTATTTATACATCAATGTGATGCACAAATTTATATAAAAAATACAATTTTCTTCTGAAGAAAACTAGATTTTTCTTTAAATATTCATCGTTTTATTTAAATAGTATCTGTTTCTGTTCAAGCATTCCTTTATTGCAAATTTTATCGAAGTTTGTTCAATCAGCTGATTATTTTCTATCTAACTGATATAATAGTATATACTAGAAATTCTACAACTGTAGTAGATATCACTTCAGTCTGAAGTGTTCACGTGTGTCACACATTCTATATCTCTCCATTCTTGTATCACATAGGAAACTTGACAACTTTCAATGCAGCGCAACGCAGAATAAATGCATTAAATCGCTTCGCGTGACAACTACAGTTAACAGATGGTCTTTTAAGAATCTTTTCACAACTCTGAAACCGTGAAAATTAGGAAAGTTCGAAAAAATGGAGAAAACGATATTGAACATGTGTCAAAAAAATTTCGAATTTGTATTCAGTCAAATGTATGACTGAATGTAAATTGATTACAAAACAAAAAAAAAACAGACAATAGACGTGGGTGAAAATTCAAATATGATATTCTTTCAACGGAATAAACTGGGAATACAAAACTGAATTCACTCTACCTACGCAAAAGCTATCTTGATCAGATAATATGTTGTTTTGTTCAGATGTTGTTCAAGAGTTATTTGTATTATTATGAATTTATGCAATTAGAATTTATATTAGAAATTATAGATGCATGTTATTAAAATTGTGAATTACCTTAGAATAACAATTTCATAAAATTATACATACAGGGTGATTTATTTTAATCTGAACAGACAAACATTTCGAAAATATTTTTATTAAACATTCCAAATAAAAATTGGTATAGAAAGGTATTTTGGTCAATTGCTTTTTTCTAGAAGACACCAAAAAAATATAAAAGTCGCTTCCACTTAAAAAAATTTTTTTAATTATGTAATTTGTTACATAATATGATAACACAATAATGATTCCTGAACATTCATGATTAATTATTATACATAAAAGATATAATTATTGAAAAATCAATACTTTACAAGATATTTTATCGTATCATATTTTGACATAAAATATAAAATATCTTATAAAATATCGATTTCTTGATAATTGTATTTTACTATTTTTACACATAATGAGATAGTCACATTATAATCATTAATACTATTGATATAATCAATAGTATCAATGTTAAATGTAAAGAAGACATACAGTTGCTTTAAAAAAAAAAGTAATTGCATATTGCATTTTTTTAAATAATTTTTTAAACTATATGTTTTCTTTAAACCAATCGATTTGTCTTATAATTTTGTGTATAAAAATATTATATATAGCGCATAAGATGTGAATGTATATTGTATACCTACACATACACGTATACCTCATACGCTTTAATAAATTTAACATAGGAATTTATTGAAACTTTCTTAAAAAAATCTTTCTAAACACATTTGAAATAGCTCGTATAATTACTATCATATATAATGTAAAAGTATACAATACATAAAATCGATTTTTTAAATAAACTATTATAAATAATTGTTATTCATCAAATAACACTATTCTAAAAAAATTAATTATTTAATTTCTGAACATTATCTTAAATCATAAACAGATAATTATTACATATGTATTATGTTAACGTATAATGATATTAATTTTAAAAAATTTTACACCTAATGAGATAGTCAAAACAATCTCTAGTAATGGAATTTTGATAAAATACAGTCTTTTTCAAATTGTCTATATTATATTTAAATAGTTCAAATTGTATGTATTTTTGGAAGTGAATTACGTACATAATTAAAAATTAATTCCAGTAAAAACTTGATTGTATTTATGATACTTCAAGTTCTCTTTAGCTTAACCCACGCAATTTCTGTTTATAATCTTTAAGCTTCTAGAATTTCAGAGAATCTCGAGGAGAATCTTCTTTTCTTTTAATTATTAAAAGTATATTCTGCTGTTTTTTTGCAGAAGAAACAAGTGAAATAATAGTTGTCTGTTATACGATATCTTCATCTTGCTCCGTGTAATCATCTTCTTCCTCTGAGACATTTACTAATTTCCTTCTGCGCCGACATTCTTGATTTCTCTGTTCTCACGTTTATCAACGATTATTAAAGCAACATTAATAATAAAGAGGTAATATTAATAAAAATGATTATCAAAAATAAAATGAACAATGATAAAATTTTACTCTGATTAGAAAAGAAGATTGTCAAGAAGATTACATTTATTCTCTAATTTTTCATTTACGTCTATTTTTTTCTTTTTATTCAATGTGGAAAAGAGTATCTTTCGTCCTTCAAATCTACGATTTCCTGAGATTATGATTAATAAATAGATCGATCAAAGCTTTGAACGAATGGCAAATCATGCATAAACGATGTACTTTGCAAACAAAAGTTTAATGTCAGTATTATTATAGAATGTAAGTTTCTTAGAATAATAGAGATAGAAGCTACAATTGTTCGTACACATTTATGTTCACACATCGACTGATATCGATCACGTAAATGCTACGGTCACGTTTCTTTCGATATTACACGTTCATCCTTGTATAAGTAGTTAAATTATTATCGCGATTTAATTTTATGATGCAGTGAGCAATAATAGAATAGTTCAATAGAACAATTTTACAGAGTTTCGCACATGCCTATAGTTCTTTTGTTGGGATGATCCGAATTTTTCACGCACACGGCAGCATTTGCCATTATGTGAAAGGTAATAGTGAGAGAGAGAAAACGTGACGCTGATTGATGAGTGGCAGAAACAATGATCGAATTTATTACTGCGTTTTGATGGCACGGAAAAGAAGTGACTTGTAAATTCATCTGAGATAATTGGTTAAATAATTAACAATAGGGCACAAGAAGACACGCACATATGTATGTGGATATGTATATCAAATTAAAAAGAAAAGTTTATTTCTTTATGTCATTACAATTAAAATATTTTCATTTATAGATCTCTTTATTTAGATGAAAAATATTAATAAAATATTTTGTATCTTCCACATAGAGCTTTTTTTATTTAGACCGTTTTAATTGTCGTTAAAAATGAATTTTAACTAATATCGATTGTTACGCAGAAACGTAAATTAAAATAATTTGCAAGTACTACAGGAATATATAAATAATGAAAATAGAACGGGCTATTAACTTTGAAACTCAATTTACATTATAATGTAAATGAGACAGTATATCCACACACAGATAAATAGCGTTCCCTCTCTGATATTTCGAAAAATTTCATGCATCAACAAAAGTTTAATTAAATTCAATAATTATTACAATTATTTTCATTGCGAAAAAGTTTAATGGAATTTATTATGTAATTATTTACTAAAAGTTTAATATAAAAACTTTTTTTTGTAAATTTTTATTTATATATGATATAAAAAACTAATAAAACTGATAACACACAACTCAGTAATATATTTAATTAACAAAAAATAATACGCAAATTGGATGAAGTGTAATGCACCGTCATAATGCTTCTTCATGCCGAACAATGCGTCATGATATAAACGAGTACAAAAAGATGTGTACACTATGATTATCTACCCACGGCTGAGGATGTTAATTTTGACACGCGTTTTGTGCTTTGTCCTCTTGTAACAAAGACTAAGTT